TTGCATATTCTGTTGGTAGGTTGGTTCCAGTATTTGAAAATGATATGGAAAAAAAAACCCAAGAAGCAGAAAACTTGCTTTGTTATAAGTGTGCAAACCATATTCACTGTCAAGCCATTACATTCTTATTTGTACCATGTCCTTGATATCAAAGCCCAATCTCACACTTCATTAGCAGTATAGGATCATCTCACATTTTAGTTGGCTTCAAAATAGTGACTTTCTAGCACTTTTTTTTTTCCCCACAAGATTTGCCTGCATCAGGAAAATGTTGTGTGTGTGTGTTTTGTTTTTTGTGGTTTTTTTTTTTTTTGCCATCTCAATCACACTATTTTTCAGAGAACCCCTTTTTTTCTGAAGGTCTGCCTTGCAGAGTGCCATCTTTTGCTTTACTCTGGACCTGGCAAATTGTAGGCCTATCGCATAGCTTTAATTCTGGGGCTTCTCTATCTTGTTAAATTGTCTTTTTCTAGAGTTATCAGATTTATGAAATAAAAGTACAGAATGCCCAGTTAAATTTTTAATTATATATAAATAATTTTTAGTATAAGCATGTAAATTTATTGTTTCCTATATCCAAAGGCTGCTTCTCTTTCTGTGGACCCCCCTGTTTTGATAGAGAATATTCTCAATTACCTTCCTAAAAAAAGAAAGCATAAGAAGCAGACTTGCTGAGTTCTTTAAGCATCTTTTTTTGTCTCTTCGTCTTTTCTTTTCTTTCTTTATATTTGATTGATGGTGTAGCTATAGAATTGTAGCTTTAAAAACAATTCCTTTCAGAAATGTGAAGACATCTAGCCTGGCCAATATGGCGAAACCCCATCTGTATTAGAAATATAAAAGTTATCCATTTACATTCCTCATATATGTCTGATACTACTCGATTATCCATTACTGAAGAAAAAAGGACTGGGTTGTTTGGGTGGATATACTTTGCTGCTGTATTAGTTGGTCATCTTACCAAAAAGGCCTCTGCACCATTTAGGGTGATGGGGCTGTGTTGACTGTCATGTTCCGTTACAGAATGAATTGGTGGGAAGGTGTATGTCAGGCACTGGTTTTCAAAATGCCATAAAACAGGATTTTACAATCCATGGCCCAGAGGCCCCATGTGGCCCAGGATGGCATTCAGTGCAGCCCAACACAAAATCATAAACTTTCTTAAAACATTATGAGATTTTTTTTTTTTTTTTTGCAATTTTAGTTTTAGCTCATCAGCTATCATTAGTGTTAGTGGTTTTTTTTTTAATGTGTGGCTTATGACAATTCTTCTTCTTCCAGTGTGGCCCAGGGGAGCCAAAAGATTGGACACCCCTGCCATAAAATGAAAGGGTATAGGCTGGAGTCCTGAATTTCACAAAAACCTTTGCTATCCTCAGAAGGTTCATTCAACAAAAGGGGTATCTGTTTCTGCCTGTTTTTTTCCCCCCCTGAATGCTGGAATTCTAAGCATAGAAGTCTGGATGAAACACAGTGGTTCTGATTTGCACTAAAAATCTGTGTATAAACTTTCAATTAATCTCTCTGCTTTGGCTACATTTCTCGCTCTCAACTCTGAGTCTAGCATGTTTCATGATTTCTAGCAGGCAAATTCTGTCCCACTGTCTCTATACCCCTGTATGGGGCATTCATTGTTGAGCACATTTCAATATGCATCCCATGCTCCAAATATTGCTGAACTCTCCCTTACAATTGTGAGCAAATCACATCCTCCACATTCTTATCTTGTGTGGTGAGGTTTATTCATTTTTTGGTACTTTCGTTATTTTATTCCACTGAGTCTCAGGAAAGAAGAAAGATAGGCTTAAGTGCCTGGTACATCATGTTGAACTAGTAGTTTGCTGTTGTTTCTATTCTATTTCTTGATAGAAATATAATTTAAGTTAAATTATGAGTTACTTCCTCAGTTACTCCCACAGAATTGCTCAGCTGCCACCACCACCATCTACTTTGCACCTAAAAAATCTGAGGTCCACTGAAATTTGAGAATATCAGAGGCTGTAGTAAAATGACTGTAGCTTTGTGCTGAAATACTAAGGATGATTTTAAGACTTACTCGAAAAAAAAATTTGAAATAAATCTCTTCAAAAACTTATTTTGGAATTGGTCCCATTCATTCCAAAACAGCTGATAAGTGTCTAGAGTGGGCCAAGTATGAGGTTAAGTTCTGGCAAGGTAGGGATGTAAAGATGAATAAGGTATAAACCTTACCCTTGAGGATAATATAATCTGGTGAATAACTTGAGTTTATATAGCAGTTTGCAGTTTATAAATCAATTTTACTTATGGTGAACTCTTGGCACTTACTGATTTACCAGTCACAGTTTTAACGACCCACAAGGGATCCCAGTGATCCATGATACGTATAATTTATTCATTTGCTTAAGTGCAAATTTGAATCACATGCAATGTGAGCCTGTGTTGAGGATGTAGTTGCTTGGATGGTGAAATACTCAAGCTAACACTTGTAGATCTCAAAGTAGTAGCCTTGTACATATTTATTATGAATTTATAAGCAGCTTCAGCAGCCATTTGAAATCAGTGGGATGCAAACATAGAATGGGTTTATTTTTCTCATATCATTGCCTTTAACAATGCTTCTTCAGATCTCCCTTCTCACTTTGATATTTCGGGCAAATTACATAGCTTTCAGACACTTTCTCTTGTTAAAAGTTCAATGTAGTCCAATTTAAGATTTCAGTTTTATTTCTTCCAATCTGCAAGCTCAGGTTTGACTCTGCCAAAGAACTTGGAGTGGGAGAGAGGACCTGGCCTGCTATTTCTCATCTCCTCTCTTCCTTTCTGGTTCCAGCTCATTCATTATGCTGTGAGAGATGGAAGGAGAAGAAAAGCGATGATGCATTATTTTCCTGGCTACTGCCCATTCTTACTAAAGAAAAAAGAACTGGGATGTTTCTGTGGACTTGCTTTGCTGTTGTTGTTGTCACTGTGGCTAGGACATAACTGACCAGCCATGAACACTCACTGGGGCAGGCATCCAAGGGCTGGCTCTCATAGAGTGCAGGTGGACATTTTCTGAGGAAGTCCTCATGGTATAGCTCTTTGATGTAAGTGATCAGCTTTGGTTTGCTCTCTTCCAAACCCCTTCAGCTACATCCATGGTGACTCATCTCCACAGTTTGTTTTTGTTTTTGTTTTTTTGAGATGGACCTTTGTCCTGTCACCAGGCTGGAGTGCAGTGCCACAATCTTGGCTCACTGCAACCTCTACCTCCCAGGTTCAAGCAATTCTCCTGCCTCAGCCTCCCAAGCAGCTGGGACTACAGATGTGTGCCAACATGCCTGGCTAATTTTTGTATTTTTAGTGGAGACAGGTTTTCACCATGTTGGCCAGGATGGTTTTGATATTTTGACCTCATGATCCACCTGCCTTGGGCTCCCAAAATGCTGGGATTACAGGTGTAAGCCACCATGCCCAGCCACCTCCAGTTTCTTAATGTCAGGTGAGGTACCACCAGGGAGACTCGAGCCCATTTATTGACTCCATATCCTACTATGATGGGGTGTTTTACTACTGACCTCTTTCTGCCTCATTGACTTTTTTTCAGTTCTCTCGTGGTCTCTTTGGGTCTCATTTCTCCCTGCTGAAATGGGCATGAAAGGCTGACTAGCAGGACTAGCAGGTCTGCCACATAAGAGATGTTCAATTAGAAAATTAGATGTCGGTCTACCCTTCTTACTGCACCTTTAGTCTCTATGAGAGAGTCTTTTAGAACCCTCTATAACAGGATTTGGAAGAAACAACTCATCCTCTCCTTGGTGAGGATGGAAAGGAAAGTTCTATTGACTGCAATCATTGGTTGTATCCTGCCAACTGCACTGCCTCCGATCCACCTCTCTCCCCACACCCTTGGCTTGTGTAGACAGAAGTAGGAAGTGGGTAGAAGTGATTTAAGGATCTAGCCCTAATTTCTTGTGGAAAACTTTCTTTATCCTTAGATTTGGATCCTACTTACTGATTTTGAGTCAATAGGAAAAGTATTGCTCAATAGCCCATTACATTTTGTGCTATGCATGTAGTCACATTAATTGGGGTATTGACAAAGAGCTAGGAAACATTCTTCCTGAATACTTAGGGCTGTATTTCTTAAGATAAGGTTTACAGAACACTGTATCTAAATCCACTGGGGAGCTTAGAAGAAAAGATACTAATTTCTGGGCCCCATATCTAAATATCTGGACTCCTGGGTTTGGGAAAGAGTCAGGAATCAAGATTTTGAACCAACACTTCAGGTTTTCCTTGGGCATGCTGAAGTTGGGCAACCACTTACCTGAAATCCACTGCACATTATTTAGGCCCTTCCAACGCCTCTGTGAAGTAGGTAGGAATAGCATTATTTTCATTTTACTGATGAGAAGATTGGGATTCAAGAGAACCATGGCTTGCTAGATGGCAGAGTAATATACCACTCAAAATTAGTGATAATGAATATCAACCTGCTCCATTAGTCTACTACTGGCTATAATTTTCAGCAGAGAGAAAATACACTTAATTCATTTATGTTTTTTGATTACCAAAGTAATATATATTAACTTTAAGAAATCCACAAAAGCACAAAAATTGAAATATAATCTCAAGATTCAGATGTAATAATTTGTTTCTTCATGTTATATCTGTTTTATAAAATTAAAATCAAATTATATGTTAATACTTTTTAGTAATCTGCTTCCTAAAATTGACGTATTGTGAATTTCACCATCCATTAAATATGTTCTTTAACGTTATTTTCAATGTGAATATTGAAATTGGTTAAATAGATTTGCATACCCAAAGTTTATGGAGAGTTTGATTACTTCAACTTTTTACTATTAAAAAATTTAAAAGTTAGGTACTTAAGGCAGAGGGGGAATATATTTCAGCTGTTTAGATATAATGAAGCCACTTATTAAAGATTATTTATCAAAAGTGTTCAGGGCCTGAAATGATATGGAACATTTCCATGGTCACTAAAAAGATTATGTTGTTTTCTTTCTTAACAGGAACAAGACCATTTTGTTTTACTTTAACCTGTTACGTTGTACCAGTCCCTCGGTGATGCTAAACCTGCAGTGCCCTACCACACAGGTAAGGCAAAAGGTGACTCACTGATGGTGTCAGCCATTCCAAATATTCTTGGATTAAAAAATTCAGAAATTCTATTTGAGTTCTCTCTCTCTCTCTCTCTCTCTCTCTCTCTCTCTCTCTCTCTCTCTCTTTCTGTGTGTGTGTGTGTGTGTGTGTGTGTGTGTGAATTATAAATTTCTAGAAGATGGGAAGACATAAATATGAGCTTATATTTGTTTCTATACAATCAAAACTAAGCAGAAATTAATAATTTAGAATCACTTAGGAAACTCAATGATTGTCTTGTACAACCACTTACTTTTATAAATAAATATTTGCAGCCCAGAGAAATGGAGACTTTTTTTTATCAAGATCAGCATTGTATTAGGAGTAAAGCTAGCTACTATAACTAATAAACCCAAGTTTTTCAGTGACTTCACACAGTAACATTTATTTTTTGACCACGTAACAGTACAAGGCAGGTGTTTGTGATCAGTAGGTACTCTCCTTCAGGGTCCTTCCATCTTAAGGGTGGCTTAAGCACTTAAGGGTGACTCTGCAATTCCTTAAATCCTCCCTATCATCTGCATCCAATAACAAAAAGGACTTGGTGAGGGTGAACAAAACACTCCTGCTCTTAAAAGCCTTGGATAAGAAGTTTTACACATTGCATTTCCACTCATATGCCACAGACACAAACTGGTTGTAAGTGATCACACCCCTCAAAGACCTAAAGACAGAAATATCATTTGACCCAGCATTCTCCTTACTGGGTATGTACCCAGGGTAATATAAATCATTCTATTAAAAGATGCATGCATATGTATGCTCACTGCAGTGCTATTCACAATAGCAAAGTCATGGAATCAACCTAAATGCCTATCAATGATAGACTGGATAAAGAAAATGTGATACATAAACACCATGGAATACTATGCAGCCATAAAAAAGAATGAGGTCATGTCTTTTGCAGAGAAATGCATGGAGCTGAAGGTCATTATCCTTAGAAAACTAAAACAAGAACAGAAAATCAAAAACCACATGTTCTCACTTATAAATGAAAGCTAAATGATGGGAACATATGGACATAAAGAGGGGAACAACAGACACTGGAGCCTCTCACAAGGTGGAGGGTGGAAGGAGGAAGAGGATCAGGAAAAAAAACTAATGGATACTCAGCTTAATACCTGGCCAATGAAATAATCTGTTCAACAGACCCCCATGACACAAGTTTACCTACGTATCAAACCAGCACATGTACCTCTGAACTTAAAGGTTATAAAAAAAGAAATTTCAATCTTTCTAATCCCACAAAAGATAGGTTACACCCAGATTCAAGGAGAAGGGAATTGAGCAGTGTAGCTGTGAGCTGAGCTGCCTTTTCTATACCATGGAACAAATGGAATAAGAGACACAAACCTCAATGAATAGTTAAGTGTATCTTCTATAGTCTACCTCTCTGTCCTCTAGAACACCTTTCTTCCCAAAGGAGAACCCATAGCCTCATGTAGTACTGTTTTTAACTCAAAGCCTGGGATCTATAGATGATGCATAGTTCTCTTTATCAAGTCTTGACACTATATGTACAACGAGTGACAAGGACAGAAAAATTAGAATTACAAACTCCCATTTAGAAAAGAAGGAGTGATAAATACACAGCCATTTTCAGATCACAGCAATGGAGAACAGTCTTTTATTCCACCTGGATTGTGTTATCTGAGAACTCCCTCATCCATTGCTTCCTATAGCTCTTTGCTTGGCCACCTGGGGGATAATTTTCTGTCCTTTAGCCTCCAGACCACGCGATTGCTGAGCACTGGGAAGTATGCTTTGTTGAGGGCCATATTGCTTTGAAGCTCACTTCTTGTGCAAGTTTCATACCACAAATATTATTTTAACAGTGAAAGGCTTCTTAAGGCTAGCTCTCTTTAACAAAATTTAAAAAATTTTTTTTTTAGCATTATAGTTACCTCAAAAACTTAGTAGTAGACTTCTGACTTTTTTGATTCTTGGTTACATGTGCCGGTAACTATACCCAAACCTGGTCCCTAGGATTCGTTTGTAAATCTGCTTTATTTGTTTCCTCATCTCCTCAAAGACTTTTGAAATCTTACTTCTTCTGAGCCTAAAGCCCACTTGGGATGTTGGTATCTTAGTTCTGTGACCACTTATATCCACTTCCCCAAAGGCAAACCCTTGACCTTGTCAATATTAATAATTAATTGCTCCCCTTTGTAATATCGATTTCTCTGATCATCTCAATTCCTCTGACATTTCAACTCCAATCATTCTTTTACATTACTGGCACCTGCAAACCACTGATCTTAACCCATCCAAAGTATCGCTCAGTTCCTTCACGTTTGCATCTCCCCTCTTACCTGACTTAGATTCCACAGTCTCTGAGTGAAATCACTCCCTTATACACATTCTCAATTCCATTGTCCCCTTTCACTTAGTTATAAGTCCCTGGCAAAACCTGACTGTAAAGAGAGCTCTCAGTCCACTCCCTGCCTGAACCCAGGCAGCTGTGTGTTCTTGGAGAAAAATATGCAGCAGTCATTTAAATTCAGGACCTAACTTAAAGTGGGCCATTAATGCTGTCCCTCAACCAAACCACAGACCCTTGTCCATTCTATAGCCTACTGCCCTAGAAAACAATTTCACACCTTTTCCTCTCACTTGGAACCTCCAAGATCTCTTTCCCAATCTCTATGCCAGCCTCTAACTTTGCTTCCTGTCTCACTGAGCAAGTTCAAGCAAGCATTCAGAAGACAACTTTTAAAATCTCCCACCCTGTCATCCGTTTGCCTACCTATCTTCATGTATGTCATATACTCATTCTGCCTTCCCTCTAGTTCCCTGTGGGTGAACTGCCTGTGCTTCTAAGACCAGCACATCCATTTGCCCACGAAATCTCATCCTCTCATATACTTAAGCACATCACTTCAGAAATGTTTTCTTTTATTATCATTTTTGCTTTTCTGCTAAATTATCTCCATCAATATACAAAGTGTATGGGTTGATCATTAATCTCCCTCAATTATTTCTGCAGATGTTACCTTCTTAATGAGGCTTCCTTGACTGTTTATTCAAAATTATAATCCCACCCAGCCATTCCTCTCTATCTCTAGTGTCCTTTCTATCATTATTTACCTGCCATCTTATTCATTTCCACTTATTACCATCTTACAATATTTTACTTATTTATTATTTGTTTTCTGTCTCCCCCTACTAGAAGAAAAAAATGCTTAAGGGCAAGTATTTTTATGTTTTGTTCACTGCTGTTATTTCTTTCACCTTAACAATTTTTCCCCTTGACCCCACATCCCCCTCCAGCTATCAGTCCATATCTATGTGCCTCTTTTCTTCAAAATTCCTCAAAAGAGTAGTCCACATTCATCTGTCTAAATCCTTTTCTCTCTCATACAAGCTTTTATCCCTACTTCAATTTCCCCTAAACAGTACCATCGACCGCAACATTATTAAAATAATGATTATTATTAAATCCACATTTACTTGATCTAAAAATAGTATTTGATCAATCTCTCCTCCTTAAAATATCTTTTTTCACCTGGCTTCCAGGTCACAACATTCTCCTATATTTTCTTCCAACTCTCTGGCTACTCCCATCAGTCTCTTTTGATGTGTTCTCTTCATTTTTCCAACATATTTAAACATTGCATTTCCCTCCCACAAGAAGCTTAGTCCTCTTCTAAGTCTGTTTTTACTTCTTTGATGATCTCACCTGTCTCATGAGTTTAACATCATCTACATGCTGACCTCTGAAATTTACAACTCCAAATAAATCTGCTCCCTGAGCTCCAGACCTTTCTATCCAACCACCCATGCTATGTCTCTACATGGATATTTAGTTGGCATCACAAATTTAATATGTCCACAACTGAATTCCTAATCTGTGACTTTATCCCTGAAATTGTTCCCCACCCCAACGTCTTCCCTGTATCAATTAATGCCAGCTCCAAATGCCTTGATTTCTACCTTATCCTTGATTTCTCTCTCTCTCATACCCATGTTCAAGCTCTCCTTAGGTCTCCCTCCAAAATGTACCCTGAATCAAACTATTTCTCACCACCTCTTCCCTAGTTCAAGGAGCTAATCATCTCTTTTTTAGATTAGTTCAAGGATCTCCTGACTAGTCTTTCTGCTTCTGTCCTTGCCCCCTTCCCTTTGCCATCTCTTTTCCACCCAGTAGCCAGTGTGGTCTTCTTAAATATAAATCTGATTATGTCTCTTCTTTGCTTAAATGCCCCAAATAGCTTCCCAAGTTACTCATATGAAAGCCAAAGTCCTAACAATGGCCTGTAACATCCTTCACTGTCTGACCACTCTCTGACCACATACCCTGTTCTACTCCCTTTGCTCACTGCACTTGGGTCATACTGGCCATTTGTGGTATTAATACTTGAAGGGATCCAGGAACTCTCCTGCCTCAGAGACTTAGACTTTGCTGTTCTCACTACCTACAGAATTCTTCCTCCAGATGACTGTATGTCTTGATTGCTCATCCTGTTCAAGAATTTCTCCAAATGTTACCTTCTTATTGAGGCTTCTTTGAGTATCTCTTTAAAATTAAAATCCCACCCAGTCACTCCTCTCTCTCTCTGTAGCCTCCTTTCCAGCCTTATTTATTTATCATCATGTATCATCTTATTTACTACTATTTGTTACCATCTTATGACAAACATTTTACTTATTATTTGTTATCTGTCTCCTCCTACTAGAAGACAAATTGCTTGAGGGCAAGGATTTTTATGTGTTGTTCACTACTAATTCCATCCTTAGCACTTATAACAGGCTCAGAGTAGGGGATCAGTAAATATTTATTAAATGAATGAACAAATAAGAGAATGAATATCTTCCTACTCCTAGTTAAGAATTTTTCCACTATACTCTACAAATGTATCATTTGTATGATAAAACAAAATATACTTGCATATGATGCTTTTTTGTTGTTTCATGAGTGATTTACTAGATCACGTTTTCTTCACAACAAATGTAGTGTTTTAACCTTCAATGTAATTCATTCTCCCAGCCACCAAATTCTAATTTGTAATTGAGTGCTAAGCCTATCTGCATTAAAGATAAAAATAGTGATACAGAACTTTATGCAAAGTGCCCTTTGTGTTACACAGAGAATCAGAACTGAGTCAGAATATATTTTAGCTGCTAATAATGCAGACTTGCATTTAGTCTTTCAGACAGTGCATCTACTGATCTGAGCTGTATTTTTATGCACTATGTTCTTGTTAACTGCCGACATGGTCCAGACATGTGTCACAAGCACTTAAAGGAGAGACTGTGATCAATCGGCACACCCAACCTCAATGTGACCTTCATTTTGACTAATTATATGTTGATTGCTACTAATCAGCACCCTATTTGAAGGGAACAAATTGGTCTGATGGAGGAAGAAAGTAAAATGCAGTTGTATTGTTTTTTAACAGCTCATTTGTGTCTAGAATGAGAGTTGATGTGATTCTCCTTAACAAACCACGTTTTATCACTTTAATTACTTTCTTTTATGTATTGCATACCCAGCACTTTTCTATGTGTAGTGTACATTGTTTGTGTGTGTGCTTTATAAATACAGAATCAATACGGTCTCAATTCAGAAGTATCTACCATCATTTAAAGCCTGTGAAAGCATTAGTGCTTTTAGTACTCACTTTTATAAATCCATTTAAGTGTAACTGGTAGGAGTAGTTCAGTTGTCTTTCAATGTCATATAAGTCAATTGTTGAAGTCTAAATGTCTGTAAAATATCTTCTAATATGTTAATGCTTTATTCAGCTTAGCTCTAATCAGAGTGAACTTTTGACATTTGCACTGATAATCATCTTAACCTTCTTCTAAAAGATGTGGGTGTGTTGCATGCTGTGAATGTCCCTAAATAATTCTTCAGCTTTTTAGAAAGATACCTATGAAGCCACTAGTATTTTCTCTAATGGTACATGCATGTGCATATGTGAGTGTGTGTGTGCATGCACATGTGTGGATGACAGACTGAGAAAGAGGAAATACATGGGGAGGGGAGGATGTGGAGATGTGTTGTTTGCCCTGCCAAAATTTCTAGAAGGAATTGGACTGCTGTTGCTTCAAGACAATATTAACTATGAGATTTGAGGCATATGCATTTCATTATTCTCTTGCTAACTTAGCTGTAGGGCCCAAATTGAATGCTTGTGCATAGCAGGAACATAACCCAAAAGACAGAAAGGAGATGTCAGCTAAGCAGCAGTGTTTTACCTAATTGCCAATGGGTTGAGCTACAGGTTGGCCAATGAGAATAATTACTAGAGCAGGAGATGGAGCAAGTCAGGGCTGAGAAGTATTTCAGATGGAGGAACTGAAAGTGATGGAGAGACTTGAAAGAGTTAGCTACAGTTCATATGGCTTCATCTGACTTTTGTTGTTTATTGCAAATAAAAGCAAAACCAAGAGAGTGCATCTCCTCTGATTCTGCCTTCCCTCTGTGGAGTCACTAATTGGATTTCAGTGGCAGCTTCGTGGACTAGCACAATGATCTGGTTTGGCTCTGATAGGCTCCCAAAGTTTATTATATAAAATAATTGCAAAGATGACCTCTCTGCCCACATGTAGATGGTGCTGGTAAAAGACCATACTGATGATTGATCGTGGCAAATAGCCCTGATCTGTTAGTTTCTTAAGGTGCTAAAACCACAGTTACTTTTTGAGAATTGCGTTTAAGAATTCACTGGCACTAAAAATTATTAGTGGCATAAGTGTTCAATATTCAGAGAATTTTAAATCATCATTTTATTCATATTTAGGAAAGGAAGGAAGATTTTAACCCTGAATACATATGCACTACACAAGCATACTCTAAAATCATAAAGTATTTTATTAAAAGTATCACTGTCCTGTGGTAGTGGTCACACAACCACATATCTGATAAAATGGCATAGAACTACTCACATACACAGACACACACAAACAAGTGTATAAAACAGATAAGTGCTGAATAAGGTTAGTGGCTTCTAACTGTCTTACTCTGTTTAGTGTTGCTATAAAACAAATACCTGAGGCTGGACAGTATAAGGAAAAGAGGTTTGGTTGGCTCATGTTTCTGCAGGTTGCACAAGAAACATGGAGCCAGCATTTGCTTCTGTTGAGGGCTTCAGCTTTCTGCTTTCCACTCGTACTGGAAGGCAAAGAGGAGCTGGCATGTGCAGAAATTCCATGGCTAGTGAGAAAACAAGAGAGGATAAGGGAGGCGCCAGACCCTTTTTAACAACCAAATCTTGAGGGAATTAATAGATTGAGAACCCACTCATCACCACAAGAACAGGGGGCATCTTCCCTCATGAACCCCTCATGAACAGGGCAGATCCTCCCTGAACTGTAAGTACAGGGTGGAGCTGCACCTATGAACCAGACACCTCCCATTAGGCCCCATCTTCAACATTGGGGATCAAATTTCGTGATGTATGTGGGGACAAATATCCAAACTATAGCAGTAACAATATTAATTTCCTGCTTATGACAGTGTGTTATGGTTATTGCAAGTTCTTACCATTGAGGGAAACAGAGTGAAAGCTATGTGAAATCCCTATTATGTCTCATAACTACATGTTGATCTACAGTGATCTCAAAATCAAAAGTTGAAAATAAGTCTGTCACTGTATGGTATCTTGTTTTAACATAACATCAATATCCAAGAGCAAAGAACAGAGATTGGTAACTAGTACATGAAATTTCATTTTTTACAATAAGACTAGAAAATTGATTTAGGTCAGGTACAGTAGCTTACACCTATAATCCTAGCATTTTGGGAGGCTGAGATTGGCAGATCACTTGAGCTCAGGAGTTTGAAACCACCCTGGGGAATATGGCAAAACCCCATTTCTACAAAACATACAAAAATTAGCTGGCCATGATGGTTCTTGCCTGTAGTCTCAGCTATTTAAGGGTTTGAAATGGGAGGATCACTTGAGCCCAGGAAGGTTGAGGCTGCAGTGAGCCATGATCATGCCACTGTCTCTAGAAAACTTAAAAAGAAATGAAGAAAAAGAAAAAGAAAATTGATTTAGGTTTCTTAGATGGAAAACAGTGCATTGCTTTTTATTGTGGTGGATACTTTATAAGCTTAACTTTATAGGTAGTTCCTGGGTGTGTTCAACTCAGTTCAGTTCTCATCACTTTGTTCCTTCACAGATCTGTGTCTCCAAGTGCCCAGAAAAATTTTTAACCTATGTGGAAATGCAACTTTTATACACAAAAGACAAGAGCTACTGGGAAGACTACCGCCAGTTCTGTAAGACCACTGCTAAGCCTGCAAAGGTAGGTGTGTTTAATCTTAAAGCTAGAGAAGAATTTAACTTTTTTTTTAATTTCAAATGTAACATGAGCATTTGTTACTGAACAAGCTCCTAAAACTTCTAGGAAATGATTAGACACAATTTCATTAAAACACAAATGCGTGAGTACTGAGTGTGTACACACACCATTTATAGCACATTGTTTTATAGATTTGGGGTGTTATGAAAGGCTGTTTTGTCTGGCTAATTAGCTTCTACTATTTCCCGACACCAACAAATTCTCCACTTGGATGGATCTTTACTTTAAAACTAGGATTTAATGTCATTTGCAGTCACCATTTCGTTAATGTGATGATGAAGCCCCTGTAGCAACTTAGTAACAAGTAGAATTTTATTTCCAAACTCAGTTTGGTAACAACTCGTTTTAAAAACCACAACCCCTTACCTAGGTGTGAGATAGGTAAGAAATTCTAAATCATCCTTATGTTAAATAATATAAATGGTTTCCAAATTAGAGAAGATGCTGTTTTTCTAGAAAAAAAAAAAAAAAGAAAGAAATTAGAGACTCAGGATGTGACTAAGAAAAAGATACATACCTCCGAAGATGTGCCTTGTTTTCAGATGATCTGATTTTATTATTGTTGGTTTGATTGAATTACAATTAAGACATTTGAGAAAGTCAAGCAACCTTGTGTGTGTGTGTGATAATCTTACAATTAATATTATTGGGAGAAGTAATTTGGAATAAGGAGATTATTATGGAGTTCAATTTTTAAAGGACGTATTTAGATTGAGTATAAAGTAATCCTCACATGGCCTTTGAAATGTTAACATTCTTCCTTTAATTTTAGTCTCTCACACAACTTTTACTGGATGATGATTGTCCAACAGCGATTTTTCCAAGCAAACCTTGTAAGTGGCAATTATTTTACCTTAAAAACACAGAATCTACCAAAATCCTACTTAAGTTCCCATATTTCACAATTGATGAGACTAAGGCCAAGAATGGCTCTCTGACTGGCTTAAAGTCAGAGTTGGTTAGCAGAAAAGTCCAAAGTAGAGCTCATCTCTTGACTCCACCAGGTATCTTTCCACTGGAACTCTGATTTTTTTTAAATTTTCCTTCATAAACATACAAGAAAAAGATTGAAAGTTGACAGCTCAGTCAGATTGATCATTTGATGCTTTAGATCATTTGATGCTTTAGAACAGGCGTCCCCAAACTACGGCCCGCAGGCCATTTATCTGGCCCCCGCCGCACATCAGGAAGGGGCACCTCTTTCGTTGGTGGTCAGTGAGAGGAGCACAGTATGTGGCGGCCCTCCGACAGTCTGAGGGACAGTGAACTGGCCCCCTGTGTAAAAAGTTTGGGGACGCCTGCTTTAGAAGCATACATAAACACACACATAGACATGCTCGTATACACCCTCTTCTGATTTTAGCTGAAAACTTTGTCCAGAAATTGCCTGGGGAGTAGGGGGGAGGACATATACTTGTCTTTATCACTTGAAATATTTATACATATTCAGAATTAGTCAATATTTTATTTCTTTAAAATTATAAACTATATTTAAGTAATACTTTGTTTGGACAAAATGAGGCCCAGTACTTTGGGAGGCCAAGGTGGGAGGATTGCTTGAGTTCGAGACCAACCTCAGCAACACAGTGAAACTCTGTCTCTACAAAAGTTTTAAAAATAAGTTAGTGAGACATGGCAAGTCCCAGCTACTTGGGAGGCCAAGATGGGAGGATCACTTGAGCCGAGGAGTTGGAGCCTGTAGTTAGCTATGATTGTACCCCTGTACACAGCCTCAGCAACAGAGTGAAATGTTGTCTCTAAAAAAATAAAAAGAAAAAGAAGAAAATAAAATAATCACTGAGTTTTCTTGCTTATGGATATAATCCTAATTATTTAAAAGAGCTTTAATTAAAATGTCCACCACATTTAAAGTATCAAAAAAAAGAAATACTCTACTATCTAAGAGCAAAAGAATACTTAAATAAATTATTACATATTCACTAAATGAAACAGTTTGGATTTATTAAATACAACTATTAGAATGTCATGCATGTGTATGTTATAATGTTTAATAAAATTCAAACTCTTACAAGCCATATAATGATAAACATGTATAAATTACAAACAAGCAAAAAGATTGGAAAGAAATATGACAAAACATTAAGTAGTTGTTTGGGGGATAGTAAAATGTGGGAAATTTCTCTCTTCTTTTTTCTCTTTATTCATTTTCCTACAATGTACCTATTTCTGTCATTAGAGTAGTCAAATACCCACTAAAGTAGCTACCGCCGAACATGTCTTATATGCTGCCATCACTCTTTGCTGGGCCATAAAAGACCTTGAAGAAAAGATCTAGGTCCCACAGCAACAGCACTTACCAGGAAGCTCTCAGTGACAAATGTCCGCAGCCAAAATCAATGTTATAAATTTTTATGCAAAAGGATAAAAATAAACCATTAGTAACAAAAGATATAATAGGTATAAAAGTATAAGACATAGTCCCTGCCCTTACAAGTACAGTTGGCTAAATCACACAGGAAAAAATGTACACTGGGGAATAAAAAATGACTAAGGCATAGTCCTTCACAGTCTAGTGAGAAAGACATTAAAGTAAACATTGCAATCAACTTGTGTTCCTCCTAATATGAGATTAAATAGTACTCAATAGAATAGTATGCAGATAATAAAATTTGTTCATTAAAGAGTTCATAAAAGGAAATAAGTGAGAATAAAATAAACAAGGGAAAACACTGCATGTCCTGTATGATTTTGACCCTCAAAAAATAATTATTGTGGAAGAAAGACTGGAAAGAAATTCCCCAAAATGTTAATACAGTTCACGGTAGGTGGAAGGACTGTGTATAGTTCTGTATCTTTTTAATATTTTGTCCACTTTCTGAATATGTAATGAACATATTTAGTAATGGCAGCTAACAGATTGAATGAGATTATCCAGAAAAACGAATATGAAACAAGGTCAGGAGCCCCTCTGGGTAGGAACCCTTGTACTTAAGGAGTAGAAAGGGACAGAGTGCACAGAAATACAGAAGGGAGGACAGGAGAGCATCTGGCCATGTAAGCCAAGAGGAGAGTTTCTTTTTTTTCTTTTTAATTTTTTTTTGTTTTTTGTTTGTTTGTTTTTGTTTTAGTTTTTTTATTGCATTTTAGGTTTGGGGGTACATGTGAAGAACATGCAAGATTGTTGCATAGGTACACACAAAGAGGAGAGTTTCAATACGACGAGGAGTATCTACCATGTCAAAGGCTTGAAAAAGTTAACAAATTTGTCAGCAAATGTTTACTGATTTCTACTGTGTGCCAAGCCCTGTTTTACACAATGGGTTTAAGCAGGATGAAGACTAAAACATATCTGGAGGTTTTGACAATCGAGAGGTCATTGGGACCACTGGGAGGATAATTTCCATGAAGTGGTGGGGGCAAAACTCTGAACCGAGGCAGTGGAAGTAGCTGGTAAGGGCTACTGTGTCATATTTACCACAGAAAGGAAGGGAAGAGCAGTAGAAGGTGGGGCAGGTAAAGGAATCAGCCACGTTGTAAGGGCAACAGACGCGAGAGATGAGCAGACAAGAAAATTCCTTTTTAAGCCAGGATCGTTAGGAAAGGCTTTAAAGAGACCAGTTTCTTCTTTCCCCAGCTCAATTGCTTTAATATTTTCAGGTTTGAACTACCTATGAGCCCATGCAAATCAGTGATTCTTCTTATAAGAAAAAGATGTGAAAATGATCCATTTCTGATTTTCCTTATTTCTTCATTTAAAATTGGGGTTTTAAAATACTTTAAGTAATAAATTTATAAAGAGGCAAAAAGACTCTAATCAAAATCAGAACACAGAAGATCAAACAGTTATTTTACTTTTCTTAAAAATCATACTAGTCTACAAAGTGTAGGCCTCTTTTGATAGCTTCAGAATTTCCATTTTCAGCTCCACTCAAAACTGCTGTAAATGAAAAAGCTGGGAGATAAATTGTTAAGAATTCACAGATAAAAATTTAGTTGTTTTAGTAGCCTAAAGTTTGAGCTGGTTCTTATTTCCCAAGGTATTATTCACTAATCTCCAATTGTCAAGATTTTTCTCAAGTAGTACCTAATATATATTTTTAATAGCAAAACTAAACTCAACCCGTCATGCAAGTTAATGTGGCCTTTCTACTAAAATTTGCTTGCCATGATTGATACGTATCATTGTTACTCTTTTAAAACCTAACCTATGCATTTTATTTATGATGACTTGATCAATATACCATGTGTCAAGTAATCAAGTTTAGAATGTAGTTTGAGAGTGTGATCATATTTGCTTTCTAATCTTAGGACCATTAGAAAATTAGATCATCAAGTAACAGGCAATGGGCTATCTATATTGAGCAATTTGCATGTCTAGCAAGAATCTGGTTATATATAACAGAGAGTTTAAGAAAGGGAGGGCATTATAAAAGAAGAGTAGAAAAGTGATTTATATAATTTATTTTTACAGTTCTCCAGAGGTGTTTCCCTGACTTCTCTACCAAAAATGGCACTTTAACAATAGGAAGTAGAGTGGTGTTTCAAGATGGAAATGGAAAGACAAGAAGTGTTATAGAACTCAGGGATGCTGCAAAGTATGTGTTTATGTTGTAATTTTCAGTTTTGATGCATTTTGTTGCTGCACTCAAGACTATAAGGCTCCTATCAGTTTAAGAGTTATAGAAAACAATTATATATATATATGTGAAATATATATATGAAATATATATATGTGAAATATATATATGAAATATATATGTGAAATATATATATTACTGTGGATTGAAGAGCTAGATATATATTCATTAAGAAGAACATGTAAAGGAGAAACCAGTATCAATTAGAAAGAATAATGATGTTTTTTCTTTTGCTGGAGTGCAGTGGCATGATATCTTGGCTCACTGCAACCTCCACCTTTCAGGATCAAGTGATTGTCCTGCCCCAGCCTCCTGACTAGCTGGGATTTTAAAAAAGAAAGAAAGAAAGAATAATGATGCTTTTCAAAATTGTTAAATCTTTCATTCTCAACAGGTATAGAAATGTAATATAAAGAAATGTATTGGTGGCATATCAAATTTCTATGTACTAAGTATAGTGCAGTATATACCATGTCCCCTTGGCTGTACACACATGGTGCTACATGATACTAGAAAATATATTTCCCTGTGTGCATACATAAACACAAACACGGGTGTACAAACATAAATGCACACTGCATATCACTGCCTTGCTCAGTTATAGATAAAAATTAAAGATATTCTATACATGTATTTATCTTAAAAGACTTTAGCAGTATAATTAGTATAGTGTAGTTCCTGCATATTTAGAATACAATAGCAGCATTCATGATTTTCAGAAATAAAAATCTGTATAAAATAAATCTCAAAATACTAATACAAATATGATTCCATTGATATAACGGTCAGAAACAAGCAGAGCTAAATTTATTTCCCTGTTATGCATATAAAATTAGTAAAATGAAAAAGAAAACTTAGGAAATTATTATCACAAATGTCAGAATAGTGGTTACTTTGAGGAAGAGAGCGGTGTTACAGTTGGGGCATATGAAGAAAGGACTGACAATGTTGTCATTATATGACTGTGTTCACTTTGATAATTCATCAAATTGGACACTGATTGTGAAATTCCTAGTAAGTGTTCCATCGTGCCTTACTGTCAGGATTAGGAAGGGGAATTAAAGATGGTGCTTATTCTTGACTATGGGTTTTGCAAGTTAAAAGCTAATCTTATCATTTAAATTCATTTCTTACAGTGAGATTTCCACAATATTGAGGGAAGGTTGCAAACAATGGAAAAAGATTTGCTCACCATTCTTGAAAATCATGTTCTCTTTGTGTTCAGCTATAGCTACCTTTGCAGGTTTACTGGTGACATTTTATGTATTATGGTGGCTAGGAAAATAGTCACTACTGATAGATGGTTTCTGAAAACATGCTTTCAACAGCACCTTGCAGAATCCCTTTTATCATAACAAGAACATTTCTGTTTAGTGGTCATCAAAAAGTAATTGATTTTTTTCTTTCTTTCAATGCAGTGGTATTAATAAACTACTTGATGCAAAGTCACTTGGATTGAAAGTCTTTGAAGACTATGCAACAACTTGGTATTGGATTCTCATGTAAGTGAAAACACATAGATGTTTCTTCTCCAGCCCCGTTCTGATTTTATCGTTGTAGAATTTTTTCTTCAATTTTTTTAATTCTTATTCATGAATAAAAGGTTCACTCAGATCTCAGTTCCTGCCATTTTCTTTATCAGATGAGGTGTGACAGGGGAAAGATATTTGGAAATATACTCAGTGTTGGCAGGATGTAAATTTTAATCTTATTCACTAACGTACTAATATAAGTACTCTTATAAACACATACTTCAAGTCATGTGAAGCAATATATGCAGAACTTTTGTATCTGTAATACTCTTGCAGTAATCATCACATGCTACCGTGGATGCAGTATTGTTTCTCAGATTCTTTTTTCTAATTTGTCCCTCCCTTGACTTCAAAAGGATCGTTCTTATTTTTAACACATCCCTTCCACATAATGACTGGTATTCATCATCACCAGAAGTCACAGTAGTTATGAGAAGCTACCTAACTATGTATGTGATACATAAATATATATGTATATATAAGGAGGGGGAAGAGACGTAACATTTTCAGACGTAAGATTTGCATTCCTGGAAAGTTAAGGAAATGTAGTCACTGCACTGGAATGGGTAAATGTGTGACAGATCTAAGACCATCAGTACTATCTGGCTCTTTCATCATTCTCTAGTGCTTAAAAGCTTCTCTGGTTGCCTAATGGTCAAAGACTAAAGCTAAAGTTTTTTCAGATATTTCTGAGGCCCTTTAAAACCTGCCCAACTTAGTTTCTCTGATTTATCTCCACCCATGTTTCTCAGTTAACACTATATTCTAAACACATCAAATAACATTCCCATCCCTACGCTATCAAATCCCATAAATTCCATTTTCTTCCCTGGCATATCCTCTGAGTCTTGGGAAATGGTACCTCATTTTAAAAAATCAGTTTTAGTATCATTTATGAAACCTTTATTATCTTCCCCAGATATAATTACTTCTTCCAATGTGTTTCTAATACCTATCATGTGTGTACATGTGTGTGTATACACACCTATAAATACACACACATACTCATCTTCCATATAGCACCTACCATTCTGTATTTTATTTACCTGTCCCTTTCTCTCTGATAAAGTATGAACTCTTTACAATGATAAATATGTCTAACTCATCTTCATTTTCTTAACTTCTATATAAGCACTTGAACATAGTAGACACACACAAATATGTTAAGAAACTGCAAGAAAAACACTAGTCGGTCAAGATACGTGAATGTAACTACATGATGCATAATAAAGTCTAACTTGTATTTTGTGTGAGAAACTAGTGGGTGGTGTTTAGAGCTGTAAAATCAGATCACTTGATGAGATTTTACTCATTTTGATGCTTTGTCCTAAACAATTACAGTAATTACTTTTAGTATGTTAGGGTTTATCTTCAGCAAAGATTGTAGTCTATTCTTGAAAGTATTTAAATTGATTCCCCTATTGTCAGACCCAAATGTCACTAGATAATTTCTATGCTGCTTCTTCCTTTGGCTTTTTCATATCTACCTGAACAAGTATACATTGTAATAGATTCTCCTGCTTACCTCACCCCCAAAACACACGCTGAAACCCTCTCCACCCAGGCATCACTCATAAAACATCAACATATCCCTTTAGTTTCAATTCTTCTGCCCTCATTTATTTTATAAATCTAAAGTACTTGAATATATCTAGTTTATTCAGCTATAATTTTTATGTACAAATTTAAAACACACAGAATAAACAGTTTTATTTCTTGTTATTTTTTTCCTCTGACATTTCTGAATACTTTCCTTGGGCTATGCCATAAAATAATCTTTCAACCATATTGAATATTTAAGCATTAAAGTATCTGTGATTTTAAGAGGAAATGACTTCCAAAGTTAAAAGCATAGGCTTTGTAAGACTCTGACACTTCAGTACTGTGTTGTCATCTATCCAGTGACAGTAATTATGGAGATTTTTTAATAATAAAAAGATAACACTTGAAACGGTAACTTAATAAAAGTACCAAACTGTGTCTGTTGCTATGTTTGGAAACTTACAGATAACACCAGACATAACAGTTCTTAATAGAAGCATTGGGCGAACTTTCCAAACTTAATGAGTTCTCTTTGAGCAAATTACATCAGAAGACTCCAATGTGACCTTAACCTGGATATATGGGAGGAAAAGAAGCTTCTCTAGTAGTTCAGTCAAACTCTAAAAAGAAATTAAAACTGACAGAAAATAGTCATACTCTTAATTGCTTGATAAAGTCACATGTCCCAGGAGACACAGAAGCCTTATCCTGATTCCAAATAATGGCCCACAGATCACTGGGGACCTGGAATAGATGTCTGGGTGACATAAGGCATCATAAACTCCTAGAGATAATTAGACCATAGAGATAATGACTACAGCATTTTGTGCTCTGAGGGTGGCCAGTTACTTTTCTTATCTTTCTGCCCCAAAATGATTTTCTTACTTCTATAGCCATATTACAGATGATTTCCACCGGTCACCAGGTAAATGAAACAGAACAAATTCATCGCGAATATATTTTACAATTTATGACCTAGTAGGTAGATATGAAGAGAAAAAATAAGACATGGCAACTGTCGCCAATAAATCAAAATTGTAGGTTGGAGGAATTGTATTTTTCCTTGAACAATAACTGATACTAGACTTCAGTTTACCCAGGTACACAAAGATGACTTCTGTATAAAGTCCCTATGGTCCTATTCTTTCATATGAACGTCTTAATGGAAATCACTGTTTATACTTTTTAACATTATTGTTTCTATAGCCAGCTAAAATAAAATAGAGAATAATTTTGAATAGAAAAAAATGTTTTGTCTTGATGTTTATAATATGTTATGTTTAGCACACTTGACAGCTGTGTTTGTTGTGGTTTTTTTTCTAGTGGGCTTACGATCGCCATGTTCCTTAGTTGGATATTTTTGATACTCCTGAGGTTCATAGCTGGATGCCTCTTCTGGGTCTTCATTATTGGTGTGATTGGAATTATAGGTTATGGTAGGTATCACTCCTCTTCAAATTGCCAAATATCAGAATAATCTTTTTATTTTCAATTGCTATGGTCACTTACCAGAAAGCATTTGTTTTCAGCGGATCTAATTATTCTTTACCGTCATAAAAGCTTTAAACTTAGAAAAAATATTTAATTTTGCATGTATTGTCTCTGTTACTTTTTCTTCCTATATCTTTGGGGGAAAATTGCTGTCAGAACGTTTTATTCTTTTCCCTGCCAGGCTTTGGTCTCCTGCCTCATGGATACTAAGAAGGAGGTAAAGGAAATCCTTTTAGATTAATGAAAAACATTTCAGACAACTTTTATTTCTTTAACGTTTCTATCTGATCAAAGGCCAGTTCTGCAAACTTACAGAAGTGTGATCTATTTTTCTCTTTCAACTTAATACCTTTAATCCAGGTACTGTCACACCATTTAATAACTGGTACTCCATAATGAAGCATCGCCCTCTAGAGGCAAGTATTCTGAATTACGCCCTTAGGTGGAAATTACAGTACAGCCTGTGGGAGCTTAGTAATTGGCAGTAATTAAATTACAATACTGTCTGTGGGAGCTAACTAATTGACAGTAAGTAAATGTAGGAGCTAAATAACGAGTACACATGGACATAGAGTTGGGAACGTGGAAGGGGGTGGATAATGAAAAATTATTTAATGGATACAATGCATGTCATTCAGGTGACAGATACACTAAAATCCACAATGCAATATATACATATAACAAAATTACACATGTACCCCATAAATTTGTACAAATAAATTTTTTAAAATCAAGGTTGAAATCTAATCAGAAACTCGATCTCCCCCAAACAATACATATCATGTTTGTGAGCTCTATATATGAATTAAAGTGTTTCACATGGAACAGTATCCACCTGTGACAGCTTCCTTTCAGTCTTCTAAAAATATATGAGGCAATCAATATGTTCTATAAACGTTTGAGAGCTTTCTAATTAAAAGAATGATTTCCCCTACAGTGCCATTTGGACTGACAACAGTTTTATGGTGGTAGACATTTAAAATAACAATCCCTTATTTCCGTCACCCAGTAAAGAAGAGCTTTACACATATAAGAATGCAGTTGAATCCCCAGGTTGTGTAGTTAACCTGTGTTCTAATCCAGCTCCATAACATACAACTGGGTAACTTTGGAATTTTGTTGGTGGTTAACAGACCCAGTGTCCTCATCTATAACATCAGCACAATAATGGTATCTTCATCTCAGAGGATCTTAAAGATTAAATGAGACAATGAATATAAAGCTCTTAGAGCAGTACCTGAAACACAGCAATCAGTATATGATGGTTTATTGTTATTACCCTCCTCATTATCTCCAGTGAGTTTTTAGTAAATCATTCAGGTCTTCTCAGGTGTTCTTATCTGTTCCTGTTGTACAGCTCCTCTTGAATCCCACATGGGTTTCTTGCTGAACACAGCCAGGTAACAGATAACAGGTGAATCAGTCTTCCATCCTCTAATCAGAAACTGCAAAGAAAGTTGTTTAAATGTCTTGATTTTGTGTTCCTGCTTGGAGCTTAAGATAATCTCCGCCCTTTGTCACTGGAGAATCTGGGCATGTGATTCAATCACTCTTGCATTGTCATCAGGAAGGAAAGGGCAGTCTGCTGTTGACTTCACTGATGTCTTAAGCAGCAAGAAAAATCTGGGATTGGCTGTAGTGCAATTTTAACAATGGCAAAAAGGAGAAAGATGGTCAACGTATAAAAAAGTGCAGGTAAAACAACCAATTTTCACTCCCTATTGACTCCCTAGACAGCACTAACCCAGAAATTAATGACGTGGGAAGTAAGCTTGGTATTTATTGAGGGAGGAAATGTCCAGTTAGGTGGTGAGTGTCAGTAAATAAGACTGCATGTAACTGACCTCTGCTACTATCTTGGACAATTGACTTTCTACATGTCATGAGAAACCAATTTTTTCTACTAAAATTTCCTACTGACAGCAGCCCATTTACTAGGGCAAATAACAACGTGGATGTGTCATTCTGAGCAGAGAAAAAGCCAGACTGGTTGTTGGCAAGTGTTCATATATAGCAATGGAACAGCTCTCTTTGGACAGAACAGATTAAGAGGTATACAGGAGAAGACATGTAACACTTTGGTTATGAGCATGTATTTAAGATATGAAAAAGGCACAGTCCCAGATTCATCACATATTAACTGTATGATCCTCTGCAAGTATACAGTTTCTTTAATTCATAGTTTTCTCAACCTTATAGCAGGAATCTGTGAATACTAAACAAAATCATATGTATAAAGTACTTAGATTTTGCTAGCATATAGTAAATGCTCAAATAGTGTCCATTTTTGTTGTTGCTGATATTGTTATTCAGGAATATTATTAAGGAAAGAGGATTTGAAGCCCAGAGATCATAACTTTAAAAAAAAATCTAGGACAAGAGAGAGAAAGGAAAATTCAAAAATATTGCCTAGACTTTCACATTCACTAGTGTGAGGAAGCAAAATCATCTGAAGGGCCTTTTTGCTATGAAATCATGGCATTAGAAAGAGTATTGTACTGTATTGTTTTATATGTTGTTTTGATAAACTTTAGGAAATAAAGGAAATCTCCCTCAAAAGAAAAAGTAATTCATAAGCTAAAATCAAAGTGGGGAACCAAGCAGGAAGCACAGGTGAACACTGGGTGACCTAAGGTGGTGCTGGGATCAGGAGACTCAGACCGGAGTAGGCAGCAGAACAGGGCATCATACCTGAAACTCCTGGAGTAAGTCTGGGATCCTAGAAATGTCTAAAGTGACCTGTTTGTTAGTACCCTTTGGCTGCCAAAAGAAATAAATGTAAATCTCCTCTAGATGAAAGCTTTCTCAATTTAGGTCACCGAGTTTTCACAGAGTCAGATCGACAAAGTCTAAGACTACCTAACACGCAAAAAACCAGTTCTGTGTGAAATCAGTGGATACTGTGTGAAATCAGTGGATACATGAGATTGAGGTCTCCAGGAATTCAGATATGGCTATTAATAGATATAGAACAGGTGGCCAGACATAGTGGCTTATACCTTTAATCCCAGCACTGTGGAAGGCCGAGGTGGGCCAATCACTTGAAGTGAGGAGTGCGAAACCAGCCTGGCCAATATGGTGAAACCCTATCTCTACTAAAAATACAAAAGTTAGCCAGGCATGGTGGCACACACCTGTAGTCCCAGATACTTGGGAGACTAAGGTGGGAGAATTACCTGAACCCAGGAGGAGGAGGTTGCAGTGAACTGAGATCATACTATGGTACTCAAGCCTGGGCAACTGAATAAGACTTTGTCTCAAAAGAAAAAAAAAAGATATAGAACATGAAATAACAATGCATAAAAAGTTTAAAGGATTAAAGATAGAATTACAGAAATAAAAATCAACAAAAATATTCAGGCATACATGAAGATGAGCCAAAAAGAACTTTTCAAAATCAAAATGTTATATTAAAAACAAATTGATAAGCTAAACAGCAAAATAGAGAATAAATTGAAATATGAATCTGAAGTAACCAAAATATAGCAGAATGTGACAAGACAAAAATATGATTGTGTGGTTAAAAGAAATAGAAATTAGGTTAAGAAGGGCCTGACATATGTCAACTATATTTGAAAACTCTTAGCTGATAATTTTCCAGAACTGATGAAAGACATAGATCCATAGATACAGGAAGCCCTCATTATACTAAGGAGAGTAAAGGAAGAGAAATCCATATCTAATTGAACATTATTTTGTTTATTCAACAAATATCAATTGAACAGCTGCTGTGTACAGACACTATTTTAGATTCTTGATGTACAACAGTAAATGAACAGACAAAGGTTTTTACTCTTCTGATGCTCATGGCCTAAGTAATTTATGTATTAGAAGGTAGTTAAAGCTATGGAAAAAAGAAAAGGTAGAGCAGGAAAGGGAGGATTGAGAGTGCCATGGTAGGGCAAGGAGTCAAAATGGCAATATTAGAATAAGGGGTCTTTTGGGGAAGATACCTGAGAAAACACTTGAAAGCAGTGGCATTAGACAGTGAAGATGAAGGAAAAGTTCCAGACAGTGGGTACAGCTAGAGCAAAGGCCCTATAATATAAGAATGTATTGAAGAAATGGCTGGGAGCCTGGTGTGGATATGTGTACTGAGTAAAGGAAAAAATAGTAGGAGATGAGGTCATAGAATTTATGAAGGAGCCAGAGCCTTACAGATTATCGTAAAACCTAGGCTTTTACTCTGAGTGAAACAGGAAGGCAATGTAGGGTTTTGAGCATCAAAGAGATGAGATATAATAATTGCTCTAGTCCCTGTATTGAGAATAGACTGTAGTAAGGCAAGAGTAGAAGTAATGAGACCAGTAAGGAGACGATTGCAGAAATGTATAAGCCCAATGAGGGAAACTCTTGAAGATGGCCATACATGCTTTTATTGTATAATAATAGCTGTATTTCCTGATGGATTGAATGCACCTATGAGAGATAGTGAGAAGGAGCATGACTCCACAGGAATATATGAGATATAAGAAAAGATGGTGAATAAAGAAAATAAATTAGTAAGCATTTAGGTTAAGCTAAACAAACTTTGCCTGCAGAAAATAATAATTGCCTTAGATATTGGACACTAAAATTATTCTTGTATGTAGGCAAAGTTTATTTAGCTTTACTTACATGCTAACTAATATATTTAAAATGTACATAATGAAATTATTGAGCAAGAATAGAGTAGGTGATTATTGAGCAACTAAGGTCTTTGAGTTTCCTTATTAAGATATTGGCTTTAGACTTATTTTTAAAAAACTGAAGAGACTTTCAAGGTAATCTGTTATAAAAATAGAGCAGATAGCTCAAAACCAGTAGAGAAGAAAAATGGAATATAAGTAAACAAAGAAAAATCATCAATTTTTAAAAGATTTGAATCGGGAGAAAAGTATAGGCACAAAATTGAACACAAAAAGCAAAAGTAAGAACATAGAAACAAATATATCAATTTATAAAGTATAAATATATTTAACTCATCAATTAGAATACAGAGATTGTCAGGTCAGATTAAAGTGTACACATACAAATTGGAGCTATATATTATTTATAAAAGTTATACAACATGTAAGGAAATAGAACATTTGAAAGTGAAAGGATGGAAAAAATATACTAGCAATCATTAACAAAAGAAAGTGGCAGAGAACAATGATATCAGCAAAATAGATTTTAAAATGACAATTATTGTTATGGATAAAAATGATTTAGTTCACTAGAAAAATACCAATCCTAAACTTGTTGCATCTATTTAAATAACCTTAAAAATGATAGCATTGCAAGGATAAATAAATAAGTGGGTAATAATAAATTGGTGTTGGGTATAAATCTTAAGGGGAGTTTTCAGTTCGTCTTTCTAGTGAACAAGTGTATCATGATGTATTTAACCCGTCCTTACTGATGGACATTTCTAATCAAAAGGATGGGTTTAAAGCCAGATGTTACCACAGTTATCAAGACAGATACTAAAACATTTATATCAAATACAGTAGCACATTTAGACTATTGGATCCAAATAAAGTACTTGCTGTGTAAATATGTGTCTTTCCTTTGCAAAATTTACCATGCTGATGAGTTTTATGTAGATATGTATGATGAACATATACAGCTTGTATTTCAGAAAATCATATATTATTCCTGTTTTTCTTTCTTTTTCAAGGAATATGGTACTGTTACCAGGAATACACCAAACTTCAGGAACACCCAAGTTCTGTATTAACTATCTATGACATCGGGATTCAGACTAGCATAAGCATGTACTTTCAACTGAAACAAACATGGTTCACATTTAGTGAGTATTTTAAAAACTGGTTTCATTAAAATTGTAATAATGAGAAAATATCTTTTTGTCTAAAAGAAAATTTGGATTGGTATAACCCGTTAAATGTATTTATCACTAATGTCATAAATGATAATGTGTCTGTAATACCCTAACTATAGTAAGTGGAAAAGTTATTGAGAAAAATTTACTATATAACCTAAGAAAATACTAACTTACAAGGACCTCAAACCATTTTCCTTCAAATTAAAACGATTTAGTTGTGGACATTTACAGGCATTAATCTGATGTCTAACAAAGATGTTTAAAAAGAGACAAATGCTTGATTTTTCAACTTTTTATTGCTTTATTTCATTTTCTGAGATAGGATCTTGCTCTATCACCTAGGCTGGAGTGCAGTGGCACAATCATGGCTCACTGCAGCCTTGACCTCCCAAACTCAAGCAATTCTACTACCTCAGCCTCCCAAGTAGCTAGGACCACAGGCGTGTGCCACTGTGCCTGATTAATATTTTATAGAGATAGAGTCTCTCTATGTTGCCTAATCTGGTCTTAAATTTCTGGGCTCAAGTGATCCTCCCACTTCAGCCTTCTAACATGCTGGCATGAGCCACCGTTTCCAGCCTCAAACTTGCTTTTAAAAAAGAAAAAAGGGAAAGGAAAAAAAATTACAATTTTTTCATAATAAAACATTTAAACTACTTATAAGAATTATGAGTAATATCTGAAAATAAATTTGCATGTTTGAAGTATTTCTTCAAGTTTTTTAATTTCTTAAGGATAGTATTTTTTAATATTAACAAAATTATTTATTAAAATGTAACATTTTTAAAGCAAGATGATTTCAGAGATAGTTTTAATCTTATATTTCTAGAATGGTGTTATTATAATACTCCTTCTAAGATTCATGTTTTTTTTTAAATTTTACTTTAGGTGCATACTATATCTGGCATTTCTCCCCATGTTATGTCTCCCCACCCCCCGCTGTCTCTCCCCTACCCCTGCCAAATGTCCCCAGTGTGTGATGCTCCTCTCCCTGAGTCCACGTGTTCTCATTGTTCAACACCCACCTATGAGTGAGAACATATGGTGTTTGGCTTTCTGTTATTGTGTCAGTTTGCTGAGAATGATGGTTTCCAGATTCACCCAAGTCCTTACAAAGGACACAAACTCATCATTTTTTATGGCTGTGTAGTATTCCATGCTGTATATATACCACAGTTTCTTTGTCCAGTCTATCATTGATGGGCATTTGGGTTGGTTCCAGGTCTTTGCTATTGCACACAGGGTTGCAATGAACATATGTGTGCATGTGTCTTTATAGTAGAACAATTTATAGTTCTTTGGGTATATACCCAGAAGTGGGATTTCTGGGTCAAATGGAATTTCTATTTCTAGGTCCTTGAGGAATCACCACAATGGTTGAACTAATTTATACTCCCACCAACAGTGTAAAAGTGTTCCTATTTCTCCACATCCTCTCCAGCATCTGTTGCCTCCAGATTTTTTAATGATCACCATTCTAACTGCCATGAGATGGTATCTCAATGTGGTTTTGATTTGCATTTCTCTAATGACCAGTGATGATGAGCATTTTTTCATGTTTGTTGGCCTCATATATGCTTCTTTTGAAAAGTGCCGATTCATATCCTTGGCCCACTTTTGAATGGGATTGTTTTTTTCTTGTATATCTGTTTTAGTTCTTTGTAGATTCTGGATATTAGTCCTTTGTCAGATGGGTAGATTGCAAAAATTTTTTCCCATTCTATTGGTTGCTGATTTGTTCTAACAATGGTTTTTGTTTTGTTTTGGTTTTCGGTTTTTTTCTGTACAGAAGCTCTGAATTTTAATTAGATCCCATTTGTCTAACTTAGCTTTTATTGCCATTGCTTTTGGTGTTTTAATCATGAATTCCTATACCTATGTCCTGGATTGTTTGGCCTATGTTTTCTTCTAGTGTTTTTATGGTGTTAGGTTTTATGTTTAAATATTTAATCCATCTGGAGTTAATTTTAGTGTAAAGTGACAGGTAGGGGTCCAGTTTCAGCTTTCTGCACATTGCTAGCCAGTTTTCCCAACACCATTTATTAAACATGGAATCCTTTCCTCATGGCTTTTCTTTGTTGGGTTTGTCAAAGATCAGTTGGTTGTAGATGTGTGGCATTGCTTCTGAGGCCTCTGTTCTGTTCCATTGGTCTATGTCTCTGTTTTGGTAATAGCACCATGCTGTTTTGATTACTGTAGCCTGGTAGTATAGTTTGAAGTCTGGCAGTGTGATGCCTCCTGCTTTGTTCTTTTTGCTTAGGATTGTATTGACTATGCAGGCTCTCATGTGATTCCATATGAAGTTTAAAGTGACTTTTTCCAGATCTGTGAAGAAGATCACTGGTAGCTTGATGGGGATAGCATAGAATCTATAGATTACTTTGGGCAATATGGAAATTTTCATGATATTAATTCTCCCTAACCATAAGCATGGAATGTTTTTCCATCTGTTTGTGTCCTCTTATTTCATTGAGCAGTGGTTTGTAATTCTCCTTGAAGAGGTCCTTTACATCCTTTGTTAGTTGTATTCTTAGGTGTTTTATTCTCTTTGTAGCAATTGTGAATGGTAGTTCGCTCTTGATTTGGCTCTCTGTTTGTCTGTTATTGCTATATAGGAATGCTTGTGATTTCTGCACATTGATTTTTTATCCTAAGACTTTGCTGAAGTTGCTTATCAGTTTGAGAAGATTTGGGGCTGAGATGATGGGGTCTTCCAGATATACAATCATGTCATCTGCAAATAGAGACAGTTTGACTTCCTCTTTTCCTAATTGAATACTCTCTATTTCTTTTTCTTGCCTGATTGCTCTGGCTAGAACTTCCAATACTATGTTGAATAGGAGTGGTAAGAGAAGACATCCTTGTCAAGTGACTAATTTCAAAGGGAATTCTTCCAGCTTTTGCCCGTTCAGTATGATATTGGCTGTAGGTTTGTCATATACAGCTTTTATCACTTTATGATACGTTCCATCAATACCTAGTTTATTGAGAGTTTTTAGCATGAAGGCTGTTGAATTTTATCGAAGGCCTTCTTTGCATCTAGTGAGATAATCATGTGGTTTTTGTCTTTGGTTCTCTTTATGTGATGGATTACATTTATGGATTTGCATATGTTGAACCAGCCTTGCATCCCTGGGATCAAGCCTACTTGATCATGATGCATAAGCTTTTTGATGTGCTGTTGCAACCTGTTTGCCAGTATTTTATTAAAGATTTTTGCATCTATGTTCATCATGGATATTGGCCTGAAGTTTTCTTTTTTAGTTGAGTCTCTGCCTGTTTTTGGTATCAGGATGATGTTGGTCTCATAAAATGAGTTAGGGAGGATTCTCTCCTTTTGTATTGTTTGATACAGTTTCAGAAGGAATGGAACCAGCTCCTCTTTGTATGTCTGGTAGAATTCATCTGTGAACCCATCTGGACCTGGACTTTTTTTGCTTGGTAGGCATTGATTGCTGCCTCTACCTCAGCCCTTGTTATTGGTTTATTCAGATTTTCAACTTCTTCCTGTTTAGTCTTGGTAGAGTACAAGTGTCTAGGAATTTATCCATTTCTTCCTGGTTTACTGGTTTATGTGAATAGAGCTGTTTGTAGTAATCTCTGATGGTAGTTTGTATTTCTGTGGGATCAGTGGTGATATCCCCTTTAGAGTTTTTTATTGCATCTATTTGATTCTTCTCCATTTTCTTTTTTATTAATCTGGCTAGCAGTCTATTTTGTCAATCTTTTCCAAAAACCAGCACCTAGATTTATTGATTTTTGAAGGTTTTTGTTTTGTTTTGTTTTGTTTTTGGTCTATATCTCCTTCAGTTCTGCTCTGATCTTAGTTATTTCTTATCTTCTGCTAGCTTTTGAATTTTTTCTTTGATCTTCCTCTTCTAGCTCTTTCAATTTTTATGATATGGTGTCAACTTTAGATATGTACTTGTTTCTCATGTGGGCATTTATTGCTATATGTTTCCATCTCGACATTGCTTTAAAGTTGTCCCAGATATTCTGGTAAGTTGCGTCTTCATTCTGGTTGGTTTCAAAGAACATCTTTATTTCTGCCTTCATTTCATTGTTTATCCACTTGACACACAGAAGCAAGTTGTTCAGTTTCCAAGTGGTTGTGTGGGTTTGAGTGTGTTTCTTGATCCTGAGTTCTAGTCTGATTGCGCTGTGGTCTGATAGACTGTTTATTATGATTTCTGTTATTTTGCATTTGCTGAGGAATGATTTACTTCCAATGATGTGGTCAATTTTAGAGTAAGTTCAATGTGGTGCTGAGAAAAATGCATATTCTGTGGATTTGGGGTGGAACATTCTATATATGTCTATTAGGTCCACTTGGTCCAGCTCTGCATTCAAGTCATGGATATCCTTGTTAATTTTCTGTCTCATTTATCTGTCTAATATTGACAGTGGAGGGTTCAAGTCTCCCACTATTATTGTGTAGGAGTCAAAATCTCATTTTAAGTCATTAAGAACTTGCTTTATGTATCTGGGTGCTTTATGTTGGTGGCGTATATATTGAGGATAGTTAGCTCTTCCTGTTGGATTGATCCTTTTACCATTATGTAGTGTACTTCTTTTTCTCTTTGGATCTTTGTTGGTTTGAAGTCCATTTTATCATAGACTAGGATTGCAACCCCTGCTTTTTTTTTGTTCTCCATTTGCTTGGTAAATCTTCTATACCTTTATTTTGAGTCTGTGTGTCTTTGTTTGTGAGATGGGTTTCTTGAATACAGCACACCAATGGATTCTGACTTTTTATCCTGTTTGCCAGTCTGTATTTTTTGACTGGGGTGTTTAGGCCGTTTACATTCAATGTTAATATTGTTATGTGTGAATTTGATCTTGCCATTTTGTTACTGACTGGTTTTCTTTCCCATTAGTTGACTCATTTTCTTCATTGCATTTTTGGTTTTTGCCAGCTGGTTTGCTTTTGCAGTGACTGGTAATTGTTCCTTTCTGTGCTTAGTGTTTATTTCAGGAGCTCTTGTAGGACAGGTGTGGTGGTGACAAAGTCTCTCAGTGATTGCATGTCCATAAAGGATTTTATTTCTCTTTCACTTACGAAGCTTAGTTGGCTGGATATGAGATTCTGGGTTGAAAGTTTTTTTCTTTAAGGATGTTGAATATTGGCCCCCACTCTCTTTTGGCTTGTATGGTTTCTGCCAAGAGATCCGCTGTGAGTCTGTTTGGCTTCCCTCTGTGGGTGACCTGACCTTTCTCTCTGGCTGCCCTTAGCATTTTTTCCTTCATTTCGACCCTGGTGAATCTGACAATTATGTGCCTTGGGGTTGCTCTTCTTGAGGAATATCTTTGTGGAGTTCTCTGTATTTCTTGAATTTGAATGTTGGACTGCCTTGCTAGGCTTGGGAAGTTTTCTGGATAATATCCTGGAGCATTTTCCAGCCTGGATTCAGTCTTCCCATCATATTCAGGTAAACCAGTCAAGTGTAGATTAGGTCTTTTCACATAATCCCACATTTCTTGGAGGCTTTGTTCATTTCTTTTCACCCTTTTTTTCTCGTCTTGCCTTCTCTTTTTATTTCATTGGGTTGATCTTCAATCTCTGGTATCCTTTCTTCTCCTTCATCAATTCGGCTGTTGAAACTTGTGTTAGCTTCACGTAGTTCTCTTGCTGTATTTTTCAACTTCAAGTCATTTATGTTCTTCTTTAAGCTGGTTATTCTAGATAGCATTTCGTCTAACCTTTTTTCAAGGTTTTCGGTTTCTTTATATTGAGTTAGCATGTGTTCCTTTAGCTCAGAAAAGTTTGTTATTATCCACCTTCTGAAGCCTGTTTCTGTGAATTTGTCATGCTCCTTCTAAGTCATGATGTGATCCTGTGTTGTTGAGGAGTTCTGATCCCTTGAGGATGAAGAGGTGCTCTGGTTTTTGATGGTTTCATCTTATTTGCACTGTTTTTTGTTGTTGTTGTTGTTGTTGTTGTTGTTGTTTTGTTGTTTTTTTTTTTCATCTTTGTGGATTGACCTGGCTATGGTGTCAGGGAGCTACTGATGAGATTACTTGTCTGCTTGTGGAGGCACTACTGGGTTTCTAGGGACTCCTTCAGGTTACTAGGGAATCTTCCTGTGTCTTTTTTTGTTTATACTGGGAGGTTAGGCTGGCCTCTTCCACTGACCTGTAGGGGCTTTTGGGTTGTCAAGAATGCCATCCCATCCCATCCCTTCCCGTTGCTACGTAGGCTTCCTGTGTTTTTTTTAAAACATGTAGCCCAGTCCTACCCCTCTAGTGGTGGGTTGTGCCCTTCCTCCACTGGGCTGGATCATTCATGGTTTGTCTCAGACTGTGGCACTGGCTGCGCAACCCGCTAGAGTCAGAGCTTCAGCCCTCTAGGGTTTGTGGGGAAGGGTAGAGACCCGCCTAGCTGGACATGGCTGACTCCTCTTTCAGCTTCCTCTTTCTCTGACCATGGGGTCAGGGATCACCCAGCTGCTCCTGCTTATAGCTCCCTCTCTCTCCGGGCAGGTGGAGGGGGTGATAGCTCAGTCCTCAGGCTCTCCCGGCCACCTTTTGGGCTTATGCATCTGTTTAGGTCTGTGCGCCAATTCAGGATACCATCCTGGATTGTTATTCAACTCCACACTTGTAATTCCCTGTGCTTGACTGGCAAAGATCCCCTGTTCTGTGTATTGCTGAGGCTTTGGGGGAAGCGCTGTATCTGGACTAGAGCGCCAGAGGTGGAGCCTCTGACTGGCTGGTCAGGTGAACTTTCTGGGTGAAGCAGCACCCCTCCCCACCTCGGTCTGCCCTGAATGGGCTTTGCTCACTGTCGGACCAGACCTGTTGAAATGTGCCTGGTACCTCAGTTGGAGCTAGGAGATCTCTGGATTTCTTCATCTCTCTCGCTGGGTGTTGTGTGCTGGAGTTGTGTCTAATTGGCCATCCATAAAAGATTTTTTTAAATGATACACCATGAATGAAGCTTGCAGGACTGGAAGTTGTTCTGGGTGTCTGTGAGTGAGTGGTGAGTGAATGTGAAGGGCAGTACTCTACACTACTGTAGACTTTATGAGCACTGTACTCATAGGCTACAACAAACGTATTAAAAGCTTTCTTTCTTCAGTAACTAACCTTAGCTCACTGTAACTTTTTTACTTTATAAATTTTTAAGTTTTTAAACTTTTTGACTGTTTTATAATGACATTTAGCTTTAACTTTTTGACTTTTTTAAAGTAACACTTATACAAACACATAGTATATTAAAATAACACTTATACAAACATGTAGCTGGATGGAAAACATTTTCTTTCCCTACGTTTTGTATTTTTGATTTTTTTTTTTTGTATTTTTGTATTTTTAAGAGTTTCTTTCCTTTTAATATGTTTTGTTAAAAATGCAGACACAGGCTAGGCATAGTGGCTCATGCCTGTAATCCTAGTACTTTGAGAGGCCAAGGTGGGAGGATCATTTGAGCCCAGGAGTTCAAGACTAGCCTGGGCAGCATAATGAGGCCCTGTCTCTATTTTATTTAAAAAATTAGAAACAAAAAATTTTAAAAATTTGAAGACACTAAAACACACATATTATCCTAGACTTACACAGGGTCAGTATCATCAGTATCACTTTCTTCCACGTCCACATCTTGTCCCACTGGAAGGTCTTCAGGGACAATAAAAAAACATGGAGCTGTCATCTCCTATAACAATACCTTCTTCTGGAATATTCCTGAAAGGCCCACCTGAAGCTGTTTTACATATAACTTTTTTACAGTAAGTAGTAGGAGTACACTCTGAAATAACAAAATGTATTGTGTAGTAAATACATAAAACAACATGTTCATTATTATTACCCAGTATTCTATGCTGTACATACTTATATGTGCTGTACTTTTATATGAATGTCAGCACAATAGGTTTGTTTACACCAACATCACTCCAAACACAGGAGTAATGCATTGCACTACAATGCCATTGGGCAATAGGAATTTTTCAGCTCCATTATAATATTGGGACAGGCATTGTATATGTTATATATGGTCATGAAGTGCATGAATATATATAAGTTCAAAGACAGTTATATTTCTCTAATGTAACTATTTTGAATATGCAATTTTATAATGGTAGAAGTTAAATATACAGTTTAACAGTGCAATGTCATAATATAAAGTGATTCTTATATGTATTATCTTTGTAGGTTTGTTCAAAGAAGATAAAAATTTTAGCATTATATGATTATACTCCACAATTTGGGTTTTTTTTTTTTTTTTTTTTTGAGATGGAATCTCTTTCTGTCACCAAGCTGCAGTGCTGTGGCATGATCTTGGCTCACTGCAACCTCTACCTCCCAGGTTCAAGTGATTTTCCTGACTCAGCCTCATGAATAGCTGGGACTACAGGTGTGCACTACCATGCACAGCCAATTTTTGTATTTTTAGTAAAGACAGGATTTCACCATGTTGGCCAGGATATTCTTGATCTCTTGACCTTCTGATCTGCCTGCCTTGGCCTCCCAAAGTGCTGTGATTACAGGCATGAGTCACCACGCCCGGCTAAATTAGTGTTTTAAGAGACTAAAATGTACATGAAAACATAAATACACAGTATAACTAAAGGAAGATGTAGAAGTGACATGATACGTTAATAAGATCCTCGTATACCTTGGGGTGAACGTCTACTTATTTGGAAACGGTAAATGATGTGTGATGTGTCGTCAGAATTTTAGTGATATAACAATAGAATGAAATAATTAGCTCTTCATCACTGGAACTGTTTGAGCATGAGCTAAATAACCATCTAGCAAGGAGGTTATAGACTGGATTCCTTCACAAGTGGGAGTTAAGTTTCCATTAAGTTCCTTTTATACTTTCAGATTCTGATTCTTGATTTTAAGATCCATACCTTTTTTACTTTTTAACATTTCTGAAATCAAGATACATCTTCAAATTATTGAATAAACATTTAATGAAGTGTTTCTTTACTTTTCCTAAAAAGTTATTTAATTAAGGGTATGTCCTAGAATTGAGGGAATATAATTGATGCTATTTGGCTTCAAGTTTAAAAAAAATAAACTCTAGCTGAAAAGAAAAGAAAACTGGAGCAGGCTGAGAGCAGAGCAGGCAGTATTTACCGCAAGGATATAGAAGAAGTGCCTCATCAAACTAAAAACAGAAAGGCAGCTGGACTTCAAAGTTTACTTGGACTTCAAAGATTACTTGGAGTCAGGAAACAAAACCCAAAAAGAAACAAGATTTCTTCTCCTTGTTGCCTTTCTTTATACATTTATATTCTTTCTTTGCAGATTCACTTATTTCACATAAAGATGGTTTGGACACCGTTTGTATAACCCACAATTCAAGATGTGTAATCTTTAAGACTGAACTAAGTTGACTAAACTAGGTTCCCTTAGTTTTAATTCTAATACTGACATTGACCAAGTTGGGTTAAGTTTACACCCTGATTCCGTCAATGGTGGCAATAGTGTGAAGAGTCACAGAATAAAAATGGAACAAGAAACTGCTCTGCCAGCCAGTAAGGACAATTAAGAGGCACTATGAGGAAAGTGAACCCCTCACAATGTGTCTTCTGTATATTGTCTTACTCAATGAACTAAAGTTGGAAATATCTAAAACAGAACTTCCTAAAGCATTTCTTCCCTTCTTCCATGCCTATTTTCTAATTTCTAAAAGTTGTGTGAAATGTTTTTATGGATGAGATGAATGCTTTCCAAAAGAGAAGTTCAAGCTGTTGTTAAAGGTTTTAATCTAGATTTCTTAGAATTTCGTGGAGGTTTTGAAAGTTAATTTCTAAGATTGGTATTTTGAGAGAGATAACACTGCTTAGAGTATGAGATGTCAGAATTGTCAGAAATAATCATAAAGTTCAATCCTAGCATTTAGGGAAAGTTTGTTTCTGTATCTACTTGTATTAGAGACTGATTTTTTTTTTTCCTGTTCAAAGTGATAATACTCTGCATCATTGAAGTGACTGTCATCCTCATGCTGATCTTCCTCAGGAATCGAATCCGAGTGGCCATTATCCTGCTGAAGGAAGGAAGCAAGTAAGGCACTTAATGTAGAAACTCAGCTAAAGTGTATGAGTCAGTAAAAATCAGTCACTGTCCCTTGCATAACTGTCTTCCCTGTTTTCCTTTTAAGAAGACTTTTAAAAGAAAGCATTTTCCATTCAGGAAAATTTATTCAAGTTCACACTCTGCCACTTATTAGAAAAATCACCACTAACAAGTCCTTTAATATCCCCAAACCTCAATTATCACAGGGTAAAATAAGGGTAAAACCTATCTAGTGTTTGTGTTAGCATTTTTTGAAAACCAAATATGTGTTAGGAGAATGACACACGTGAAAGTAAGTGATAAAATGCTATATAAAAGCTAGCTAGATTACATGTTATATTATTTTCATACTGGGTCATATGTTCATATTTATGGTTGAGATTTGCAAAACTTTAAATCACCATAATTCTATAAAGTCGATTATATGCTATTGCCACTTCTGTTTGAGTGATAAAATTTTCTAATAGACAGGACAATTTATTCTAGCAGCACCAGACTATACATTTTATATCTAAAGCTCATAATTTAGGAACAGTTTAAACCCAGAGCCATTTTCATTTTATTTAAGTTACAAAATAAGCATTAAATCTTTCATAAAATTCATGCTGAGAGAAAATAAACCCTATGGTTTCCATACTATTCCAAAAGATCACTCAAGAATAATACTCTGGACTTTTTAATAATGCATGGAAGTAACCGGGAAGGCATTATTATAAAGCTAACAGCCCATGCTCTCTACTTAGCGTGATGGAAACTACATTGTTAATGATCAAGAACCAAATTATTTTTAACAGTCTTTAAGGATTATTTCAACAAAATTACCATATTATTTTATTATAATAGTGCCACCTGAAGCCAGTGGTTTAAATAGTTAACAAGCAGTTAAACTCTCTCTCCTTCCCAGAGTAACAGAAGCCCTATCATTAGCCACTGAAAACTACTGATTTTCTGGGTTTATTTCTTAAGTAGTATGATATTGTGCAGTTCACTGTAACTTGCTCTGCTTGTTACACTTCTAAATGTGCATTTGTGTGAGCATATGTGTTTGTGTTAAACTTCCAGTAAAACTGCAACAGGTTGATAGTTTGCTCAGGGGATAATAAGGACTCAAATAGGCATGAGAATACAGGGTAAACCTAAGGACACACAATAATTAACAGCAGCATATGGAGAAAGAGAAAACAGTATAGCTTAAATAGTGAGGGGAAAAAGGTAGCAAATACAAAATGAATCTAAGCATCAATACATTTGGAGTGATAAGATTTTCACCTTATTTCTCAGTGGCTGTATGAAATGTGTTTATCCAGTGTCATATTCTGAAAGGTCATGTAACAGAAGTCATTAGAAGTAGTGCCATCAGATACTGAACATTTCAAAAGCCATGTTCTATTAGAAAATATCAAAGAAATTATTATCCTTGATAATTATATTTTCTAAAATTGCATTTTAGAAATTAAAAATTTTATATATAATTTAAATTTGTAATTTAAAAATACATGTAACTGCAAATAGAAATATTTTCCAAAGGAGGAAAAAAAATAATGAATTACCTGAAGGGTTGCTATGTGGAAAAAATGGTAAAGTGATCATTTCTTCCCCAGAAGTTAGAGGATACAAGTTACATACAGGCAGATATGGAATAAATTTCTAATACCTTGATAAGAAAACAGAATAAGCCATGTCATGCAAAAGTAAGTACCAATCACTAAACATCTTCACCAAAGGCTGGCAAACACATTCTGAAGATAGTGTAGGGGATTCCTGAATTAATGGGGGATTCCCACAGTGTAACACATGATCTTCAAGGTCTTCTTCAATTCTAGAAGTCTAAAATCTCTAAACAAAAGGAAGAAATGTCATGACTGCAATGTATCAAATCTTCACGGGTCAGGCAGAAATAACCAAAGGGAGGAAATCTGCGGAACTTTAGGCAGGAGTCGAACATGTGCATGGGAAAAATGCCTCAACTTACTTTTAAAAATAAGTAAATAAATAAACAAAGATGTAAAACAAACTGAGAATATGCCAGAATGATCACCAAAAAAGAATCCATGGTTATTACCAGTTTTCTTTGAATTGATTCAGTCTAAAGCTTATTTCTAGTTTTAACAACCATTTTGAATTTCAACTATTTGTTTTATTTCAGAGCCATTGGATACATTCCTAGTACATTAGTTTATCCAGCTTTAACTTTCATTTTGCTGTCAATCTGCATTTGCTACTGGGTCGTGACAGCAGTGTATCCTTTAGTAACTGGCCTCTCTAAACCTCAGGTTCACATGACTATTCATGACCAGGAGATTGTGTTCAGTGTTTTCTATCCCTGGGAAGATGAGAAATATCCTACAGAAATAACTAATTTTTTTCCCCTCAAGTTCTAAAAACATCTCAGTCTACTGATTGAATTTGCCCTCAAATAGTTCATAGTATAGCTTCATTTTATTTTGTCTCTACATATGATACTCCTCCTTAGCAATAAGCCAAGAAAGCACCTATACATTTTACTGTTTTTAAGGGGCCACTCAGTATAGCTGGCCCATATAACATTAATCTAGGCCTGAAAAATAGATCAATATTATTAAAATATTCAGCATTTTCTAAGTTAATTTCTCATGCACTTTTATTTTCAATCTACCAGCAATTAGTTTATCCTTAATGGAGTCTATTCAGTTTCTTGGCAACATCAGGGGTACCTGTATACAAAGTCATAGCCCCAGAGGGGCACTGTATACATGAAAATCAAACCTGTGACCCAGAGGTAAGAAACGCCTTTACTTGCTTCAGTTACTTACTTCAATATAGAAACTCTTTTACTTACTTACTTCAAATATAGAATTCTGCTGCAGTTCATTTTGTAATTGTTGTAGGAATTGTCCTGAAACAGAGATCCTATGCACTGATGGAGACCACTGTGTGCTGAAGGGGAGGGTGCATCAGGTTAGCAGGAGTATTGAAAACACTGGGCAGAATAGAGAGAAAGCACTGTATTTCCTGAGCTTGCCTGTCTTTCCATATACCCAAGACCATACAAAGTAAGTATGGTCAACAACAACACTGATAAATGTGAGGTTAGAATAGGTGCAGATTGTGAGCATTCAATGGAAAATGAGATGTTTTCCAGAGCTCATTAGAGAATTATATAAAGTGATATTATAGAATAATAGAGGAGTAATAGCAGGATGTAATAGAGAAGAAACAGAACATGCAGTTAGGGGGAAGAGGAAAAGACAGGGAAGTGTTCTCTTAGAGTGACATTTAATATTATGTTCTATGTTCTTTTTTTCTGAATGCAGATTTTTAATACAACTGAAATTGCCAAAGCTTGTCCTGGGGCTCTGTGTAACTTTGCTTTTTATGGTGGAAAGAGTTTGTACCATCAATACATCCCTACCTTCCATGTATACAACTTATTTGTTTTTCTCTGGCTTATAAACTTTGTCATTGCACTGGGTCAGTGTGCCCTTGCTGGTGCATTTGCTACTTATTACTGGGCCATGAAAAAACCTGATGACATCCCACGATACCCACTTTTTACTTCATTTGGACGAGCCATACGGTAAGTTACATGTTGAACCCTACAGCTATCACCTCAGTTACATTTAGTGTGCTTGTAATTCAGTCTTAGCTTATTAACTGGCAAGGTACAAATGAGGTCAAAGGTATGATTCAAGATTCATGGATGCCCATTGGTTTTGTCTGGTTTCAGAGCCACAGTTTTATAATACCTGCCCAGCCCAATTTCCTTCTAAATGCTGTAGGTTACTGGAGAAGGAAAGAGGTAGAGGAGGACACCAAATGAAAGACTGAGGATTAACTTCGCTCTCCATTGAGCAGTTGAAACATGCTCTTTTATGATGATAGACTATTGGTGTCATTTATGTCGATGAAAGGTGAGACAGATGTATATGGTTTAAAACTCTCTGTGGAGATCTTTATCAGTCTAAATAAGAGGGTGCAAAAGGCTCTTTGCTGTTAATCCTTCTGTAGACACCTTTTAATTGTGAAAAATATTCAATTGGCATCCTTTTAAATAATAGTAAAGTTTTAACTTATTCTCATTTTATTTTTGTGCAGATATCACACAGGATCTCTAGCATTTGGATCTTTAATTATTGCATTAATTCAAATGTTTAAAATAATCTTAGAATACTTGGACCACCGTCTTAAACGTAAGATTTCAGAATTTATCTCAGATGTCCTGACTTTTGTGAAAAGAATACATTGGGTCAGGGATTGGGGGGAGACCTGATGATTATAACTTGGACTAGGGTAGTAAGAATGGCAGGGCATGTTTGGGACCTGTTCTGTTCTGAAGAAAAAACAGAAGCTGCTGAAGGATTGGATATCAGTGGAGGGGAGGAGAGGGACAGTGGTGAAAAAAAGAGAGAAAAGGTATATGATTCTATTTATTAAGCTGTGGAAGGCAGGAGAAACAAATTTCAAAAAGAGATTAAGAATTCTGTTTTGAGATGTTATTGTTGAGAAGCATGATGGAGATGTCAGGTAGGCAGTTCCAAGTTGATAGTTCAGGTCAGGTTAGGCTGAAAATATTAACATGGATGTCACAGGGATAAATCTTCATACCTGATACATATTGTTAACAAACACATAAACTTTGCTTGGAATATACATTAAAAGATTTTGTTATTAATAATGAAAACAGACTTGAAAAGAAACAAAAAAGCTGGAAGACTCACACTTCCTGATTTTGAAACTTATTATAAATCTACAGCAATCAAGAGTGTGGTACTAGCATAAGAATAGACATATAGAGCTAGAATAAAACAGAAATCCCAGAAATTAACTCTCACATATAAGACCATTCAATGGGAAAAGGTCAGTCTTTTCCATTAAAAGTGCTGGGAAATTGGGATATCCACATGTAAAAGAATGAAGTTTGACCTATCTTACATTAATATACAAAAATTAACTAAAAATGGATCAAATACCTAAACATAGCAGTAAAACTATAAAACTATTAGAAGAAAACACGAGATGGAAGCTTCATCACATTGGATTTGGTGATTAGTTCTTAGTATACCAAAACATAGGCAACAAAAGAAAAATAAATTGAACTTCTTCAAATTTAAAAGCATTTGTTCAACAAAGAACACTACGAAGAGAGTGAAAAGACAGCCCACATGATGCAAGAACATATTTGCAAATCATATACCAGATAAGGAATTCATATCCAGAATATACAAAGAACTTCTACAACTCAACAGCAAAAAAAATAAGCAACCCAATTTAAAAATGGACAAATAACTTGAACAGACACATTTCTACAAAGAGGATATACAAATGGTCAATGAGGACATGAAAAGATGCTTAATATCAGAGGGATCCAAGATGGCTGAATAGGAACAGCTCTGGACTGCAGCTCCCAGCTAACACGCAGAGGGTGAGTGGTCACTGCATTTCCAAACAAACTTTTATTGCCCATAGACCAGGACATTCCCAGGCAGAAAATCACCACGAGTCTCCAGCATGGCTGTTTCTGCCGGTGCGGCAGGTCTCTGCACAAAAACTCACACAAATCCAGGCACCATTTCAACTGGCAACTGGAATGCCTGGGAGACAGAGTCACCAATTCAACTGATAAAATGGGGACTGAAAGGAAGCAAGGCCTGGAGATTCCTGGGCAGAAAAGCACTACAAGTCTCTGGCATGGCTGTTTCAGCTGGCGCAGTGGGTCTCCACACAAAAACTCACATAAATCTGGGCACCTTTTCACCTGGCAAAGGGAATGCCTGGTAGACAGAGTAACTTGTTCAACTGAACCAAAGGGGACTGAAATAGGGAGCCAGGCCAGGAGATTCCTGGGGAAAAAATGTGTCACAAGTCTTCAGCATGGCTGTTTCAGCAAGCACAGTGGGTCTCTGCACAAAAACTCACACAAATCTGGGCACCATTTCAACTGGTGACTGGAATGCCTTGGAGACACAGTTGCCCATTCAAGTGAAAAAACAAGGGGTTCAAACAGGGAGCCAGGTGATCTGGCTTGGCAGGTCCCACCCCCACAAAGACCAGCAATCTGAAACTCTCTGGTTTGAGAGTTTCACAGCAGGCACCGCTGAACCCAGAATGGTCCAGCTCTGCGGGGGAAGGGCGTCCAACATTACTGAGGGAGTGCACCATTACTGAGGTAATCTGCCATTACCGAGGTAGTCTGCCAGTAGAGAGAGAGTTCACCATTACAGAGACAGACAGCCATTACTTAGGCAGTTCCAACTATACCCCTATAAACAAAACTGCAAGGAAGTTCACACAGCAGCTGGGTAGAGCCCACAGCAGACTGTGACTAGGCTACCTCCTCGCTGGGCAGGGCATCCCTGAAAAAAGGCAGCAACATGACAGAAACTTATAAATAAAGCCCTACCTTCCTGGAACAAAGCACTTGGGGGGGAAAAATGGGTGTTTATGAGTTTTGCTGTGGCAGACTTAAACGTACCTGCCCAGCAGCTCTGAACAGAACAATGGAGCTCACAGCTCCGAACTTGAGCTCCTGTTAAGGACAGACTGTCTCTTCAAGCAGCTCCCCAGCCCCCATATATCCAAAGAGTCACCTCATAAAGGAGAACTCAGACTGACATCTGGTGGGTATCCTAGGACAAAGATAGCAGCAGAAGAAACTGGCAGCAACCCTTACTGTTCTGCAGCTGCCACAGGTGATCCTGAGGCAAGCAGGGTCTGGAGTGGACCTCCAGCAGTCCTACAGCAGAGGGGCCTGACTATGAGAAGGAAAACTAAGACACAGAAAGTAGTAACTTCATAATCAGCAAACAAGACGTCCACTCAGAGATCCCATCTGAAAGTCAACAACTACAAAGACCACAGATAAATAAATCCGCAAAGATGGGAAGAAACTAGTACAAAAACAATGAAAACACCCAAAACCAGAACCCCTCTCATCCTCCAAGGGATCACGGCTACTCACCAGCAAGGGACCAAGGCTGGATGGAGAATTAGTCTGATGAATTGACAGAAACAGGCTTCAGAAGGTGGGTAATAAGACACTTTTCTGAGCAAAAAGAACATGTTCTAAGCCAATGCAAAGAAGCTAAAAACCTTGAAAAAAGGTTTGATGAAATGCTAAAGAGAATAAACAGCTTAGAGAGGAATATAAAAGAATTGATGCTGCTGAAAAACACAACATGAGAACTTTGTGAAGCCTACACAAGTTTCAGTAGCCAAATTGACCAAGCAGAAGAAAGGATATCAGAGGTTGAAGATCAACTCAATGAAATAAAATGAGAAGGCAAGATTAGAGAAAAAGACATAAAAAGAAATGAACAAAGCCTCCAAGAAATATGGGATTATGCGAAAAGACCTAATCTACGTTTGATAGGTGTACCTCAATGTGATGGAGAGAATGAATCCAAGCTGGAAAACACTCTTCAGGATATTATCCAGGAAAACTTCCCCAACCTAGCAAAGCAAGCCAATATTCAAGACCAGGAAATACAGAGAACACCACAAAGATACTCCTCAAGAAGAGCAACCCCAAGGCACATGATCGTCAGGTTCACTAGGGTTGAAATGAAGGAGAAAATGCTAAGGGCAGCCAGAGGGAAAGGTCGGGTTACCCACAAAGGGAAGCCCATCAGACTCACAGCAGATCTCTCAGCAGAAACCCTACAAGCCAGAATAGAGTGGGGGCCAATATTCAACATCCTTAAAGAAAAGAAATTTCCACATAGAATTTCATATCCAGCCAAATTAAGTTTCATAAGTGAAGGAGAAATAAAATCCTTTACAAACAAGCAAGTACTCAGAGATTTCATTACCACCAGGCCTGCTTTACAAGAGCTCTGGAAAGAAGCACTAAACATAGAAAGGAACAACCAGTACCAGCCACTCCAAAAACATGCCAAATGATATAGAGCATTGACACAATGAAGAAGTTGCATCAACTAACAGGCAGAGCAAACAGCTAGCATCAAAATGGCAGGATCAAATTCACACATAACTATATTAACCCTAAATGTAAATAGGCTAAATGCCCAATCAAAAGACACAGACTGGCAAAATGGATAAAAAGTCAAAACCCATCAGTGTGCTGTATCTAGGAAATTCATCTCACATGCAAGGATACACATAGGCTCAAAATAAAGAGAGAGAGAAAGATTTACCAAGCAAATGGAGAGCAAAAAAAGCAGGAGTTGCAGTCCTAGTCTCTGATAAAATAGTCTTTAAACCAACAAAAATCAAAAGAGACAAAGAAGGACATTACATAATGGTAAAAGGATCAATGCAACAAGAAGAGCTAACGATCCTAAATATATAGGCACCCAATACAGGAGCACTCAGATACATAAAGCAAGTTCTTAATGACTTTTCCTACACAATAATAGCGGGAGACTTTAACACTCCACTGTCAATATTAGACAGATCAACGAGACAGAAAATTGACAAGGATATCCAGAACTTGAACTCAGACCTGGACCAAGCAATCCTAATTGACATTTACAGGACTCTCCACCCCAAATCCACAGAATATACATTTTTCTTAGCACCACATTACACCTACTCTAAAATTGACCACATAATTTTAAGTAAATCACTCCTCAGTAAATGGAAAAGATGGGAAATCATAACAGTCTCTCAGACCACAGTGCAATCAAGTTAGAACTCAGAATGCAGAGACTAACTCAGAACTGCACAGCTTCAGGGAAACTGAACAACTTGCTCTTGAATGTTTACTGGATAAAAAATTAAATGAAGGCAGAAATAAAGATATTCTTTGAAACCAATAAGAATAAAGACACAACATACCAGAATCTCTAGGACACGTTTAAAACAGTGTCTAGAGGAAAATATATAGCAATAAATGCCCACATGAGAAGCAAAGAAAGATCTAAAATCGACACCCTATTGTCAAAATTGAATGAGCTAGAGGAGCAAGATCAAAAAAACTGAAGACCTAGCAGAAGACAGGAAATAACTAAGATCAGAGCAGAAATGAAGGAGATAGAAACACTGAAAAAAAACCTTCAAAAAATCAACAAATCCAGGAGCTGGTATTTTGAAAAGATCAACAAAATAGACAGACCACTATCCAGATTAATAGAAAAGAGAGAGGATCAAATAGATGCAATAAAAAACGATAAAGGGGATATCACCACAGATTCCACAGAAAAACAAACCACTATCAGAGATTACTACAAACAACTCTATGCACATAAACCAGTAAACCTCGAATAAAAGGATAAATTCCTGGACACTGGCACCCTCCAAAGCCTAAACCAGAAAGAAGTCAAAACGCTGAATAAACCAATAACAAGGGCTGAAGTTGAAGCAGCAATTAATAGCCTACCCACCAAAAAAAGCCCAGGTCCAGATGGGTTCACAGACAAATTCTACCAGACATACGAAGAGGAGCTGGTACCATTTCTTCTGAAACTATTCCAACAATCCAAGGAGAAGCTGTCCTCCCCAAATTATTTTATGAAACCAACATCATCCTGATACCAAAATCAGGCAGAGACTCAACAAGAAAAGAAAATGTCAGGCCAATATCCATGATGAACATAGACGCAAAAATTTTTAACAAAATATTGGCAAACTGATTGCAACAGCATATCAAAAAGCTTATTCACTACGATCAACTAGGTTTCATCATGAGGATGCAAGGCTGGTTCAACATATGCAAGTCTATAAACATAATTCTCCACATAAACAGAACCAAAGACAAAAACCACGTGATTATCTCGATTGATGCAGAGAAGGCCTTCGACAAAATTCAACAGCGCTTTATGCTAAAAACTCTCAATAAACTAGGTATTGATGGAACATATCTTAAAATAGTAAAAGCTACTTATGACAAACCCACAGCCAATATCATACTGAATGGGCAAAAACTGGAAGTATTCACTTTGAAATCAGGCACTGGACAAGGATACTCTGTCTCACCACTTCTATTCAATATAGTATTAGAAGTTCTAGTCAGAGCAATCAGGCAAGAAAAAGAAATAAAGAATATTCAATTAGGAAAGGAGGAAGTCAGATTGTCTCTATTTGCAGATGACATGATTGTAAATTTAGAAGACCCCATCGTCTCGGCCCAAAATCTCCTGAAACTGATAAACAACTTCAGCAAAGTCTTAGGATACAAAATCAATATGCAAAAATAACAATCATTCCTATACACCAATAGCAGAAAAACAGAGAGATAAATCAAGAACGAACTGCCATTCACAATTGCTATAAAGAGAATAAAATGTCTAGAAATATAACTGACAAAGAACGTAAAGGACCTCTTCAAGGAGAACTACAAACCACTGCTCAATGAAATAAGAGAGGACACAAACAAATGGAGATACATTCCATACTCATGGTTAGAATCAGTATCGTAAAAATGTCCATACTGCCCAAAGTAATTTATAGATTCAATGCTATCCCTATAGAGCTACCAATGACGTTCTTCACAGAACTAGAAAAAACCACCTTAAACTTCATATGGAACCAAAAGAGAGCCTGCATAGCCAAGTCAATACTAAGCAAAAAGAACAAAGCTGGAGGCATCACAGTACCGGACTTCAAGCTATACTACAAGGCTACAGTAGTCTAAACAGCATGGTACTGGTACAAAAACAGATATATAAACCAATGGAACAGAACAGAGGCCTTAGAGGCAACGCCACATATCTACAACCATCTGGTCTTTGACAAAGCTGACAAAAACAAACAATAGGGAAAGGATTCCCTTTTTAATAAATGGTGTTGGGAAAACTGGCTAGCCATGTGCAGAAAGCAGAAACAGGACCCCTTCCTTACATCTTACACTAAAATTAACTCCAGATGGATTAAAGACTTAAACATAAGACCTAACACCATAAAAACCCTAGAAAAAAACCTAGGCAAAACCATTCAGGGCATAGGCGTAGGCAAGGACTTCATGACTAAAACACCAAAAGCATTGGCAACAAAAGCCAAAATAGACAAATGGGACCTAATTAAACTCCAGAGCTTCTGCACAGCAAAAGAAACAATCATTAGAGTGAATCAGCAGCCAACAGAATGGGAAAAAAGTCTTGCAACTACCCATCTGACAAAGGGCTAATATTCAGAATCTACAAAGAGCTAAAACAGATTTACAAGAAGGAAACAAGCCCATTTAAAAGTGGGCAAAGGACATGAACAGACCCTTTTCAAAAGAAGACATATATGACACGAACAAACGAAAAAATGCTCATCATCACTGGTCATTAGAGAAATGCAAATCAAAACTTCATTGAGATACCATCTTACTCCAGTTAGAATGGCAATCATTAAAAATCTGGAGACAACAGATGCTGGAGAGGATGTGGAGAAATAGGAACACTTTTACACCGTTGCTGGGAGTGTAAATTAGTTCAACCATTGTGGAAGACAGTGTGTCAATTCCTCAAGGACCTAGAAAGAGAATTTCCATTTCACCCAGGATTCCCATTACTGGGTATATATCCAAAGGATTATAAATCGTTCTATTATAAGGACACATGCACACGAATGTTCATTGCAGCACTGTTTACAATAGCAAAGACTTGGAACCAACCCAAATGTCCATCGATGATAGACTGGACAGGGAAAATGTGGCACATATACACCATGGAATACTATGCATCCATCAAAAACGATGAGTTTGTGTCCTTTGTAGGGACTTGGATGAACCTGGAAATCTTCGTTCTTGGCAAACTGACACAAAAACAGAAAATCAAACCACATGTTCTCACTCATAGGTGGGTGTTGAACAATGAGAACACATGGACGCAGGGAGGGGATCATCACACAGTGATGTCTGTGAGGGGAATTAGGGAAGGGACATAGGTGGGAGGGAATTGCAGAGGGATAACATGGGGAGAAATGCCAGATATAGGTGATGGGGAGGAAGGCAGCAAACTACATTGCCATGTATGCGCCTATGCAACAATCCTGCATGTTCCTCTCATGTACCCCAAAACCTAAAACACTATATATATATATATATATATATATATATATACATATATATATATATCTTTTATATATAAAATATATATCTTTTATATATATATATAAAAGATGCTTAATATCACTAGTCATTAGGGAAGTGCAAATCAAAACCACAATGAGTATACCACTCCATACACATTAGAATGGCTACTATATATATGAAACACACACACACACACACACACACACACACACACACACACACACACACAAAACAGAAAATAACAACTTGGTAAGAATGTGGAGAAATTGGGACCCTTGTGTATTGCTGGAGGGAATGTCAAATAGTGTAGTCACTGTAGAAAATGATATGGCAGTTTCTAAAAAAATTTAAAATATAATTTTATGTGACCCAGAAATCCTGCATCTAGATATATATGCAAAGAATTGAAAGCAGGAACTCAAACTGATACTTGCGCATCACTGTTCATAACAGCATTATTCAGAATAGCCAGAAGGTATAAACAACCCGCATTTCCATCAACAAATGAATAAATAAACAAAATTAGTCTTTTCAACTAATGGTGCTGGGAAAATATACAATGAAATATTATTCAAGCTTAAAAAGGAAGGCAATGATAAACCTTGACAACATCATGCTATGTGAAATAAGCAAGATATAAAAGGATAAGTATTATATGATTCCTCTTATTTGAGGCACCTAGAAGGAGCAAATTTATAGAGACAAAAAATATAATAGAGGTTACTAGGCACTGGGGGAAGAGGGGAATGAAGAGTTACTGTTGAAGGGCATAGAATTTCTACTTGAGATTTTAAAGTTCTGAAAATGGATAGCAGTGATGGTTGTACATTAAATTGTATTCAATGCCACTGAACAGTACACTTAAAAATGGTTCAAATAGCAAATTTTATATTATGTATATTTTATGACAATATGAAATTTTAAATCTCATTCTAAATGTTGTATTATTATTTAGTTTGATTCATAAGGTTCAGCTGCAAATCATTAGTAGATTTAAATACCTCCTTCTCATAGGTACCCAGAACACACTTTCTAAATTCCTAAAATGCTGCCTGAGATGCTGTTTCTGGTGTTTGGAAAATGCAATAAAGTTTTTAAACAGAAATGCCTATATTATGGTAGGTAGATTATTTTTTATTTACTAAGCTGCTTCTTTGCAATCCCAAACCTTATGTCTACATTGCCGTTTCTAAAGCATTTTTACATCATGCAGTTGAATTTATCACCATGCTGATAGAAGGACTGTCCATCCAATGCACAATTCAGGGATATGCTTTCCTACTTGAGATAGTGTCTGAACTGTACTTTATTATTACCTTCAATATCTTTTTTGAGAGAAACAATATTACGTACATTGGAAACTTTTAAGTGTGTTGGATAGAAAATGGTTTTGTGTGTCTTTGTCATAGTTTAGTGAGAAAGCATGTTTAATCTCTGAAAAGTAAATACTTTCTAATTCTGGAATTTACTTAATTTTAAAGAAGGGTCTTATCCTTTTTATGAATCTGTGACAAAATGTGTGAACACTGACAATGCTTGACAGAGTTTTACTTGTTTCCAATGCAACATGGAAACTCCTAAGTGGTTTTTTATCATATGGAATCCAGAAATATAATTCTTCTAAAACTTAGAAAGCTATAGTATAACCTTATGACATTTGTTTATTATCATAAGTAGCACAGGGTCTGGAAAAGTGATTGGAATTGTTATGGAAGTTCAAATAGTCATTAATTTACCTCCAGTGAGAGTACTATGTTAAGCCTTTTAATCAGTAAATCAAGTGTAACGAAAGACATTGGGTTTCCTTAAAAGTAATTTTTTATGTAGAGACTACAATATTTAACCTTTTCAGCAATAAACTCTAGCCAAAACATTTTAAAGACAGAAGCTATTATCTGGAATTTGAGAAAAAAGACCTGTCTCTGTTTAAGGATGTCTAATTCCTCAGAGTTTGAGGGCATACAGCATCTGAAGCACACCTGATTGTCAGTGCCCCTGAGAGTTGTGTAGAGCTGAGGACACACAGCATGTCCCACAGATCCACATGTTAGAAATAAGAGTTGGGATAGCTCTACAAATGATAGGAATTAATTTGGTTACCTTCCTGTCATTGGATTGTTCTTTGATTTTGCTAGAGTGTGTAACTGACCCTGGAATAATATCAACTGTCTTTCTCAGATTGCAATATACGGCAGAAACTTCTGCAGATCAGCAAAAGATGCATTCAATCTGCTGATGAGAAATGTTTTAAAGTAAGTAATCAGGCATTGTAATTCAACAATTTAGTGAACCTTGAACATTACATCCTTCACATGGTATTTAAAGTGTTGGTGGGATTATTAGATATGAATATTATCTTTTAACTTGATAGATTTAAATATTATCTCTCATATCATTAATTTATTTTCATATCTGAGAATTGTTGCTTCCATCATTCACTTGTGGCTTATGCCCACTGACATTTTTTCATTTTTATTATCCCCTCTGCTCAAGAAATTCCCCCAGGTGAACCACGGTATCATCTTTCCCCCTCCCAGAATTGATGGAGCCTGAGTGAACAAAATCAGAGAACAATACAGCATCCTCAGGACTCAGCGTGTCTATAGGCTTCAAATTAAAGAGAGAGAGACCGACACCACCACTGCAGGGCTCCTGATGGCCCTACAATGCCATCTTCTGTTTACATTAAAAATAAGTCATAACATCATCCATAAGTTCCACCTTCATTTCTTACAAAACAGTTGCCAAATACAGGTTCAGCAAAGACATACCAAAATAAACTCATGAATATTTACTGCCATAAATTTCAAGTACCAAGTATATTTTAAACACAAAATTATACTTTCTTTTTTTTCCTGACACTCAGAGTTGCAGTTACAGATGAAGTTACATACTTTGTATTATTCCTGGGGAAAATTCTAGTTGCTGGAAGTATAGGTAAGTAATAATGATAAAAATAATTAAAAAGTTTAGAAGATGCTTGGAAGAACTGCTTTACTACAAAAAAAAAACTATATTCCTTTGCAAATGTATAATATACATGTTCTACCTTTTCAATGTAGGTGTTCTGGCCTTCCTATTCTTCACACAAAGATTACCAGTGATTGCACAAGGACCAACATCTTTAAATTACTACTGGGTACCTTTGCTGGTAAGAACTGATGTCTGAGTCAGTCCAGGCTGCTATAACAAAAATGCTATAGACCTAAAACTTAAACAAAAGAAATTTATTCCTCACCATTCTGAAAGCTTGGAAGTCCAAGATCAAGGTGTCAGCTGACTTAATTTCTGGTGAGGGCTCTCTTCCTGGTGTACAGAAATACACCTTCCCATATCCTCACATGGTGGGGAGAGAGAGAGAGATTATCTCTATCATTTCTCTTATAAGGACACTAATCCAATCCTCCTGACCTAATCACCTCCCAAAGTTCCCAACGTCAAGTCACACTGGGGCTTAGGTCTTCGACAAGTGAATTTAGAGGGCACAAAATTTACTCCCTAGCAGCTGGCTCTTGTTGATTCTGTGTTTTATCAAAGATAGCACAATTCTAAAAAGGAATAGGAGAAATAATAATGATAGCTAACATTATTGGCCTTACTTTATACCAACCCATATTCCACTTTAGAGACTGGGTTCCTTAGAGATAAATCTAAGACAGAGGATTACATGCAGAAGGTATGTCAGGAAGCTGTCTCCTGAGATACACTGGTAAGAAAATGAGGGCAGGATAGGTAGCAGGAGAAGCTGCCCTATGCCAGAGTTACAGCCGAGGCCTCAGCATTGCAGGGCATTGTGGAAAAGGGGCAAGGCCTTTGTATGCTGCATCAGGCAGCTTTTGGCCATGAACTGACCCCTGCGTAGGGGATATAACTTTGGGTGAGGCAATTCCCTGCAAGAAGGACAATTCTTAGTGAGGAAGCAACTGAGTCATTAGCAGTCTATAGTTCCAACAATTGTGGATGGATGAGATAATGTAGATCTGGGTGAAGCTCTGCAGTATCTACCATAAATTAACTCATTTAACCCATATGTCAGAAATACTGTCATCATGTACATTCTCCCCTCCCCCACTGCCAATTTTATATAGGAGGCACAGAGAGGTTAATTCACTTGCTGAGTGCCTGAGTTCTGATTCAAACCCAGGCAGCAGGTGCTCTTAATGCCTAACACTTTGTTGCCTTGGTGTGCGGGATACTAAAACTGAGATATTTTTGCTAGGTACTGAGGGTGGTGATAAGAAAATAGGCAGGTCTTCAGTGATAGACTGGATAAAGAAAATGTATGTACACCGTGTGTGTGTGTGTGTGTGTGTGTGTGTGTGTGTGTGTGTGTGTGTGTATTTAAAAATATGTATATTATAAAATACGTATATATAATATATATAAATATATATAAAAAGATACACACACACACACACACACACACCACGGAATACTATGCAGCTGTAAAAAAGAATGAGATCAAGTCCTTTGCAGCAACATGATGGAGCTGGAGGCCATTATCCTGAGCAAACTGATACAGGAACAGAAAACCAACTACTGCATGTTCTTACTTATAAGTGGCAGCTAAACACTGAGTACACCTAGACACAAAGGAGGAAACAACAGACACTGGTGCCTACTTGAGAGTAGGGGGTAGGAGGGAGAAGATTGAAATACTACCTATCGGGTACTATGATTATTACCTGAGTGATGAAATAATCTGTACACCAAACCCTCATAACACACAATTTACTTGTATGACAAACCTGCACATGTGCCCCTGAACCAAAACTGAAAGTTAAAAAAATAAAATAAAAAAAAAATTGAGGATTAGACAACACTCCAGTGCACAACACCCAGCAAGAGAGACACAGAAATCCAGAGATCTCCTAGGTCCAACCAAGGTACCAGGTACATTTCAATGGGTCTGGTTTGATGGTGAGCAAAGCCCACTCAGGGCAGACCAAGGTGGGGAGGGGTGCTGCTTCACCCAGAAAGTGCATCTGACTGGCCAGTCCAGTTGGAGGCTCCACCTCTGGCGCTATGGTCCAGATACAGCGCTTCCCCCAAAGCCTCAGCAATACACAGAACAGGGGATCTTTGCCAGTCAAGCGCCAGAAATTACAAACCCAGAGTTGAATAAGAACCTGCAGACTGAGCTATTGCCGCCCCCCCCCCCCCCCGGCCCCCGCCTGGAGAAAGAGGTAGCTGTAAGCAGGAGCAGCTGGGTGGGCTCCTGCCCCATGACTGGAGAGAGAGAAAGCTGAAAGGAGGAGTCTGGAGGGTGAGGCTGGGCAGGTCCCTCCCCTCCCCCACAAACCCCAGAGGGCTGAAGCTCTGACTCTAGTGGGTTGGGCAGCTAGTGCCACAGTCTGAGACAAACGCTGAATGATCCAGCCAAGTGGAAGAAGGGCACAACCCACCATTAGAGGGGTGGGACTGGGTTACATGTTTTAACAAAAGACACAGGAAGCCTACGCAGCAACGGGACAGTGTTCTTGACAACACAGCAGTGCCTACAGGTCAACAGAAGAGGCGGGCCTAATCTCCAGGTATAAACAAAAAAGACACAGGAAGCTTCCCTAATAACCTGATGGAGTCCCTAGAAACCCCGTAGAACCTCCATAGGCAGATAAGCAACCTCATCAAGCCAGGTAGGTAAATCTACAAAGATGGGAAAAATGCAGCACAAAAAAGGTGAAACCATCAAAAAGACCAGAACACCTCTTCTTTTTCAAGGTATCACAACTCCTCAACAACACAGGATAACATCATGACCGAGAAGGAGCATGACGAATTCATAGAAACAGGCTTCAGAAGGTGGATAATAGAAAACTTTTCCGAGCTAAAGGAACACGTTCTAACTCAATGCAAAGAAACCCAAAACCTTGAAAAAAGGTTAGACGAAATGCTAACTAGAATAACCAGTTTAGAGAATAACATAAACGACTTGATGAAGTTGAAAAACACAGCATGAGAACTATGTGAAACTAACACAAGTTTTAACAGCCAAAACAACCAAGAAGAAGAAAGGATATCAGAAATTGAAGATCAACTCAATGAAATAAAAAGAGAAGGCAAGACAAGAGAAAAAAGAGTGAAAAGAAATGAACAAAGCCTCCAAGAAATATGGGATTATGTGAAAACACCTAATCTACACTTGATCACTGTACCTGAATATGATGGGGAGAATGAATCCAAGCTGAAAAACACACTCCAGGACATTATCCAGGAGAACATAGCAAGCCTAGCAAGGCAGTCCCACATTCAAATTCAAGAAATACGGAGAACTCCCCAAAGATATTCCTCAAGAAGAGCAACCCCAAGACACATAATCTTCAGATTCACCAGGGTTGAAATGAAGGAAAAAATGCTAAGGGCAGCCAGAGAGAAAGGTCAGGTCACCCACAGAGGGAAGCCACTCAGACTCACAGCAGATCTCTTGGCAGAAACCCTACAAGCCAGAAGAGAGGGGGGCCAATATTCAACATCTTTAAAGAATCTCAACCCAGAATCTCATATCCAGCCAAACTAAGCTTCATAAGTGAAAGAGAAATAAAATACTTTATGGACAAGCAATTATTGAGAGATTTTGTCACCACTAGACCTGCCCTACAAGAGCTCCTGAAAGAAGCACTAAGCACAGAAAGAAACAAGTACCAGTCACTGGAAAAGCAAACCAGTTGTCAAAGACCAAAAATGCAATGAAGAAAATGAGTCAATTAATGCGAAAGAAAACCAGTCAGTAACAAAATGGCAGGATCAAATTCACACATAACAATATTAACATTGAATGTAAATGGCCTAAAGACCCCAAGCAAAAGACACAGACTGGCAAACTGGATATAAAGTCAGAACCCATCAGTGTGCTGTATTCAAGAAACCCATATCACATACAAAGACACACATAGACTCAAAATAAAGGGATGGAAGAAGATTTACCAAGCAAATGGAGAACAAAAAATAGCAGGGGTTGCAATCCTAGTCTCTGATTAAAATGGACTTCAAACCAACAAAGATCCAAAGAGAAAAAGAAGGACACTACGTAATGGTAAAAGGATCAATCCAACAGGAAGAGCTAACTATCATCAATATGTATGTCCCCAACACAGGAGCACCGAGATACATAAAGCAAGTTCTTAACGACCTAAAATGAGATTTACACAATAGACATATACAGAACACTCCACCACAAATCCACAGGATATACATTTTTCTCAGCACCACATTGGACTTACTCTAAAATTGACCACATCATTGGAAGTAAATCACTCCTCAGCAGATGCAAAAGAACAGAAATCATAACAAACAATCTCTCAGTCCACAGCGCAATCAGACTAGAACTCAGGATCAAGAAACACACTCAAACCCATACAACCACTTGGAAACTGAACAGCTTGCTTCTGAGTGTCAACTGGATAAACAATGAAATGAAGGAAGAAATAAAGATGTTCTTTGAAACCAACCAGAATGAAGACACAACTTACCAGAATATCTGGGACACCTTTAAAGCAGTGTTGAGAGAAAAATTTATAGCAATAAATGCCCACCAAAGAAGAGAAGAAAGATCAAAAATTGACACCCTATCATCAAAATTGAAAGAACTAGAGGAGCAAGATTAAAAAAAAATCAAAAGCTAGCAGAAGACAAGAAATAACTAAGATCAGAGCAGAACTGAAGGAGATAGAGACACAAAAAGCCCTTCAAAAAATCAATAAATCCAGGAGCTGGTTTTTTGAAAAGATCAACAAAATAGACCAATAGCCAGATTAATAAAAAAGAAAAGGAAAAAGAATCAAATAGATGCAATAAAAATGATAAAGGGGATATCACCACTGATCCCACAGAAATACAAACTACCATCGGAGACTGCTACAAACAACTCTATTCACATAAACCAGTAAACCAGGAAGAAATGGATAAATTCCTAGACATTTGTCCTCTATCAAGACTAAACCAGGAGGAAGTTGAAACCCTGAATAGACCAATAACAAGGGTTGAAGTAGAGGCAGCAATAAATAGCCTACCAAGCAAAAAAAGTCCAGGTCCAGATGGGTTCACAGACGAATTCTACCACACATACAAAGAGGTGCTGATTCCATTCCTTCTGAAACTGTAACAAACAATACAAAAGGAGAGAATCCTCCCAAAATCATTTTATGAGACCAACATCATACTGATATCAAAAACAGGCAGAGACTCAACTAAAAAAGAAAATGTCAGGCCAATATCCATGATGAACATCAGTGCAAAAATCTTCAATAAAATACTGGCAAACAGATTGCAACAGCATATCAAGAAGCTTATCCATCATGACCAAGTAGGCTTCATCCTGGGGATGCATGGCATGTTCAATATATGCAAATCCATAAATCTAATCCATCACATAAATGGGACCAAAGACAAAAACCACATGATTATCTCAATAGATGCAGAGAAGGCCTTTGACAGCATTCAACAGCTCTTCATGCTAAAAACTCTCAATAAACTAGGTATTGACAGAATGTATCATAAAATGATAAAAGCTATATATGACAAACATACAGCCAATATCATACTGAACAGGCGAAAGCTGGAAGTATTCCCTTTGAAATCAGGCACTTGACAAGGATGCTATCTCTCACCACTCCTATTCAACATAGTATTGGAAGTTCTAGCCAGAACAATCAGGCAAGAAAAAGAAATAAAGGGTATTCAATCAGGAAAGGAGGAAGTCAAACTGTCTCTATTTGCAGATGACATGATTGTATATGTAGAAGACGCCATAGCCTCTGCCCAAAATCTTCTCAAACTGATAAGCAACTTCAGCAAAGTCTCAGGATACAAAATCAATGTGCAGAAATCACAAGCATTCCTATATACCAGTAACAGACAGAGAGCCAAATCAAGAGCAAACTGCCATTCACAACTGCTACAAAGAGAATAAAATACCTAGGAATACAACTAACAAAGGATGTAGAGGACCTCTTCAAGGAGAACTACAAACCACTGCTCAATGAAATAAGAGAAGACACAAACAGATGGAGAAACATTCCATGCTGATGGTTAATACAAACCAACATCATGAAAATGGCCATACTGCCCAAAGTAATCTATAGATTCAATGCTATTCCCATCAAGCTACCAATGACCTTCTTCACTGAACTGGAAAAAGCCACTTTCAACTTCATATGGAATCACAAAAGACCCTGCATAGCCAAGAAAATCCTAAGCAAAAAGAACAAAGCGAGAGGCATCACACTGCCAGACTTCAAACTATACTACAAGGCTACAGTAATCAAAACAGCATGGTACTGGTACCAAAACAGAGTCATAGACCAATGGAACAGAACAGAGACCCCAGAAGAAACACCATGCACACTACGCATCTATAACCATCTGATCTTTGACAAACCTGACAAAAACAAGCAATGGGGAAAAGACTCCATGTTTAATAAATGGTGTTGGGAAAATTGGCTAGCAATGTGCAGAAAGCAGAAACTGGACCCCTACCTCTCACCTTACACTAAAATTAACTCCAGATGGATTAAAGATTTAAACATAAAACCTAACACCATAAAAACACTAGAAGAAAATGTAGGCAAAACCATCCAGGACATAGGCATAGGCAAGGACTTCATGACTAAAACACCAAAAGCAATGACGATAAAAGCCAGGATAGACAAATGGGATCTAATTAAACTCCAAAGCTTCTGTACAGCAAAAGAAACCATCATTAGAGTGAATCAGCAACCAACAGAATGGGAAAAAATTTTTGCAATCTACCGATCTGACAAAGGGCTAATATCCAGAATCTACAAAGAACTGAAACAGATATACTAGTAAAAAACAAACAACCCCATTCAAAATTATGTCTAGTATAACTGAAACAGATATACTAGAAAAAAACAAACAAAATTTATGTTTTATGAAGGATATGAACAGACACTTTTCAAAAGAAGACATATATGAGGGCAACAAACGTATGAAAAAATGCTCCTCATCACTGGTCATTAGAGAAATGCAAATGAAAACCACACTGAGATATCATCTCACGCCAGTTAGAATGGAGATCATTAAAAAATCTGGAGACAACAGATGCTGGAGAGGATATGGAGAAATAGAACACTCTTACACAGTTGGAAGTATAAAATCGTTCAACCGTTGTGGAAGACAGTGTGGTGATTGCTCAAGGATCTAGAAATAGAAATTTCATTTGACCCAGAAATCCCACTACTGGGTATATACCCAAAGAATTACAAATCGTTCTACTATAAAGACACATGCACACATATGTTCATTGCAGCACTGTTTACAATAGCAAAGACCTGGAACCAACCCAAATGCCCATCAATGATAGACTGGACAAAGAAAATGTGGTATATATACAGCATGGAATACTACGCAGCCATAAAAAAACAATGAGTTTGTGTCCTTTGTAGGGACTTGGGTGAATCTGGAAACCATCATTCTCAGCAAACTGACACAGGAACTGAAAACCAAACACTGTATATTCTCATTCATATGTGGGTGTTGAACAACGAGAACATGTGGACTCAGGGAGAGGAGCATCACACACTGGGGACAGTTGGCAGAGGTAGGGGAGAGACAGTGGTGGGTGGGGAGATATAACATGGGGAGAAATGCCAGATATAGTATGCACCTAAAGTAAAATAAATAAATTTTTTTAAAAATTTAAAAAAAATATTCCAGAAATAAAAAACGCTGGCATCAACTGATTGAAGAGACCTAAAATATCATTGGCAAAATTTCTTTGCTTGATAATGAAATCTGTTCTCTCTTTCTTCTAAAGAGCTGGGCATATGTCCAGAGTCTCTGGATCACTGTGTTGAGAAGGGTTGTTCTATTATCTAGAACACCTATTATAAACTGTTACCCTAGGGAGAAATACACTTCTGTTTTTTTAACAAAAAAAGAAAGAAAGAAAGAAAGAAGATACTACCAAAAGGAAAAAAAAAAGGCAGGTAATGTAATAAAACTGTTTAAGTCTCAGAACAAAGCATGCAAAAGAATTATCACTGAACTTTTTGGTCTCGATATTGAAATCTTTTCCAATACAGAGTACTTCAAAACTTTCTCATCATGACTTTCATTTACAGCTGCATTATTCTTCTTCTGGATGAAGTATATGACATGTTGGTTTTCTTCTTTACCATTTACAGACGGTCATTTTTGGGTCTTACCTGATTGCACATGGGTTCTTCAGCGTCTATGCAATGTGTGTTGAAACAATTTTCATCTGCTTCTGTGAGTATTCAGTATGTGTGTTTTCCCCTTTCAGTAGATAACTAAAAGGTGAGATGGTGAAGGCCCATGTCCTTAGCTGGCTTGGGGATCTGCTGTCACCTGGCTGCAACCACAAAACATATTTATCTGGAAAGAGATATTTCTTAGTAGATGCTCTTTAAACCTTAATACCTGAGAAATAAGTCTGACACAGAAAGACAGATACTTACATGTGGAATCTAAACAAGTCAGACTCATAGACACAGAGTAGAAGGGTGATGACCAGAGATGGAGGGGTCAGTAAAATGGAGCAATGTTGGTCAAAGGGTACAAACTTTCAGTTATGCAGGATGAATAAATCATGGCACTCTCAAGTACAGCATGGTGACTAGAGTTAATCATACTGTACTGTTAACTTGAAATTTTCTGAGATCTTAAGTGGTCTCACCACACACAAAAAAAGAGAACCATGGGAGGTTATGGACATGTTCATTAGCATGGCTGTGGCAATCATTTTACAGTATATGCATATATCAAAACATTATACACCTTAAATATTTACAGTTGTTAATTATACCTCAGTAAAGTTGGAGGAAAATATTATGCCTCAACAAAACTTGAGGAAAAATATAAAATTAAAAAAGAAATCTTACCAGCGAAGAGAATGGAGTTTGCAAAGCACAGAAGAGTCAACTACTGAAATAACCCCAGGCTTCATGGCATGGTGTTAGCATAAAATTATTTTGTTCATTTCTTGATTTTTTAAGTCAATAATAATAATTGGCTTCTGCCGTGCTTTGTTAACAGAACTGAAGACATAACTAGGCTCTGGGAACTAGATATGTGGAATTCTTTGGGGAGAGTATTTATAGATTCTGATAAAGCCAAGATGGCAAGGTGGTTTCAAGGACATATAGGGCCAATTTACACTGTGCATCACAATGACAAATGGATAGGATTTAGAGAGGAGTACTTTTAGGAAATAGTTGGAATAATTTTGATAGGTAGAGTTAAAATATTTCTTTAGAGCTTCCATCACTGATTTATGCACGATGCTCCTATAGTTACCTCTGCAACTCCCATACAAAAATAGGGTTTTCCTTTTTGGTTAGGCACTGTGGCTCATACCTGTAATCCCAGTGCTTTGAGAGGCCAAGACAGCAAGAATTGCTTGAAGCCCAGCTTGAGGAAAGCCTTGGCAACATAGTGAGACCCTATCTCTATAAAATAAATAAATAAATTTGCCAGGCATGGTAGCATGCACCTGTAGTCTTAGCTACCCAGGAGGCTGAGGTGGAGGATCACTTGAGCCCAGGAGTTTAAGGCTGTAGTGAGCTATGATTGTGCCATGGTACTCCAGCCTGAATAACAGAGCAAGATCCTGACTCTTAGGGGAAAAAATGATTTATTTTTTATATTAGTACCTCACCTACCTGAAAAGTCCTGGAGAACCTAGTACCTATCAGAAGCTTGATCTGGCTCTCACCTTCAATGCCATTTCTTTGGCAAACCAGCAGAAAGTAGAGTCAGCAAGTAAAAGAGCATAACTTGTTAGCTGCACAACTACATATCTTGAGAGATTATTTCTCTAGCATATTGCCCTTAAGAGAAACAGAGAACACTTATTTTCTGACAGGGCATTACTGAGCAATCTTCTCGTACAAAACTTATAGTTTGCATTTTAGAGTAATGCACAGCACCAACTTCACACTGGGATCAAGAGAGAAGATAACTTTAGGGAGATAACTTTAGGGAGGTTTCAAAGAAACCTCCTAGAAAGTAGTTTGTCCTTGTTTTTTATTTGTTTGTTTGTTTGTTTCTGACCATGTTAAAATCAATTCTCAAAAACCAAAGAATTCAGGAGAACTTTAGTACTAGTTAGTTATTCCTCTGGTTGCAAATGGAATTGAAATGTTTAATATATTCTTAGTGCTTCAGTGGTTTCAGAAAAGCCATCTAGCTAGAAAATATCAAATGAACAAACTCCAGTTCAGGTATGGGATGAAAGAAGGAGCACAAGAGTAAGGTCAAGTGCTAAAACATGGTGGAGTCAGGGCTCTGGAATGCTCAAAGATTTCTCCTCTCATCTCTAACACTAATAATGAGAGCAATATCTGGAGATCACTGTGTGATCTTACCCATTCTTGTGGCTGAAAATCCTTCTCAAAATGTGTCTCAGGAAACATCTAGATGATTCATGTTGACATGAATCATCTCCTTTCAGAGACTTTAGTCTGCAATAACAAAGAACAAGGAACCTTATATTGTATTTCTCTTCCTGTCCCAGCAGTTACTTTGGGCAACATCATACTTTGTAAAATATTCTTCTTAAGTGATGCTCTGAGCCAAATTCTGATTGTGTAGAAATACACACACACACACACACACACACACACACACACACATATATATATATATATATATATATATATATATATATATATACATACACACACACACACCTATATACATATATACATATATGCCAGGCACGGTGGCTCACACCTGTAATCCCAGCACTTTGGGAGGCTGAGGTGGGTGGATCATGAGGTCAGGAGTTCAAGACCAGCCTGGTATATATTTATACCTATTATCTTGGCTGCCATAAAACGTGATCCCCAGGCAAGCAGGGCCTGGAGCGGACCTCAGCAGCCCTACAGCAGAGGGGCCAGGCTGCTAGAAGGAAAGCTAAGAAACAGAAATAACTTCATCATTGACAAACTGGACATCCACTCAGAGACCCAATCTGAGAGTCAGCAACTACAAAGACGGCAAGTGGGTAAATCCACAAAGATGGAAAGAAACCAGCGCAAAAAGGATGAAAACACCTGAAACCAGAACCCCTCTTCTCCTATAACGGATCACAACTCCTCACCAGCAAGGGAACAAGGCTGGATGGAGAATGAGTGTGATGAAATGACAGAATCAGGCTTCAGAAGGTGGGTAATAAGAAATTTCTGTGAGCTAAAAGAACATGTTCTAATCCAATGCAAAGAAACTAAGAACATTGAAAGAAGACCTGATGAAATGCTAATGAGAATGGACAACATAGAGAGGAATATGAGTGAATTGATGGAGCTGAAAAACACAACACGAGAACTTCGTGAAGCATGCACAAGTTTCAGCAGCCGAATTGACCAAGCAGAAGAAAGGATATCAGAGGTTGAAGATCAACTCAATGAAATAAAATGAGAAGGCAAGATTAGAGAAAAAAAAGGTAAGAAGGAATGAACAAAGTCTCCAAGAAATGTGGAACTATGTGAAAAGACCTAATCTATGTTTGATAGGTGTACCTGAATGTGATGAAGAGAATGAATCCAAGCTGGAAAACATTCTTCAGGATATTATCCAGGAAAACTTCCCCAACCTAGCAAGGCAGGCCAATAATCAAGTCCAGGAAATACAGAGAACACCACAAAGATATTCCTCAAGAAGAGCAACCCCAAAGCACATAATCTTCAGATTCACCAGGGTTGAAATGAAGGAGAAAATGCTAAGGGCAGCCAGAGAGAAAGGTCTGGTTACCCACAAAGGGAAGCCCATCAGACTCACAGCAGATCGCTCAGCAGAAACCCTACAAGCCAGAAGAGAGTGGGAGCCAATATTCAACATCCTTTAAGAAAAGAACTTTCGGGGGATGCTGGGAAGATGGCCGGCTAAGAACAGCTCAGGACTTCAGCTCCCAGTGAAAGTGCAGAGGGTGAGTGGACGCCGCATTTCTGGACGAATTTTTATTGCTCACAGACCAGGAGATACCCAGGCAGAGGTGTCGCCAGCACTGCTGTTTCAGCCAGTGCAGCTGTTTTGGCCCCTGCGGGGCTGATTTGGCCCGTGTGGCTGCTTTGACCATGCCCTGTTGTGGTGGTTCTCTGTACAAAAGCCACTAGTCTGGGAGCCCTCTTAGCTGGCGATTGGAGCCCTGACATGGCAGAGTTGCCCATTCATCTGAAATAGCATGCCAGGCCAGGAGATTCCTAGGCAAAAAATCCGCCAGGGGCCTTGGCGCCACTGTTTGAGCCGACTCAGTGAGTTGCAACATGGGAGATCCCGGCGCCTTTTCAACAAGTGACTGGAACGCTGGTTCGTTCAACTTAAAAAATAAAATAAAAAAGACTGAGTCAGGGAGCCAGGTGGTCAGGCTCGGTTGGTCCCACCCCTCAACCCCCAACAACAACGAAAACAAAAACAGTAATTGAAAATGCTCTGGGTTGAGCGTTTCACAGCACGCACAGCTGAACCCAGGACTGTCCAGCTCTGTTGGGGAGGGGCGTCCACCATTACTGAGATTCTCCACCACTACAGAGGCAGGCCGCCGTTGCTGAGGCAACCCGCCATTGCCGAGGCAACCTGCCACAACAGAGAGAGTCCACCATAACAGAGGTGGGGCCACCGTTGCCAAGGCAGTTCTAACTACGCCCATATAAACAGGACTGCAGTGAAGATCACAGGGCAGCTGGGTGGAGCCCACAGCAGCTCAGCAAAGCCTCTGCAGGCAGACAGTGAATAGGTGGGCTGTTAGCTGGGCAGGACAGAACTGAAAGAAAAAACAAAAGGGGCAGCAGCACAATGAAAACTCATAAAGCCCTAACTCCCCAGGACAGATCACCTGGGAACAAAAAGCGGTTTATGAGTTCAGCTGCAGCAGACCTAAATGTACCTGCCCAGCAGCTCTGAATGAACAACGGAGCTCACAGTTCAGGACTTAAGCCCCAATAAAATTAGACTGTCTCCTCAAGTAGCTCCCTGACCCCCATAGATCCAAAGAGTCACCTCATAAAGGAGAGAACTGACTGACATTTGGCGAGCATCCTTCTGAGACAAACATAGCAGAAGAGGAAACTGGTAGCAACCCTTACTGTTCTGCAGCTGCTGCAGGTGATCCCCAGGCAAGCAGGGCCTGGAGAGGACCTCAGCAGTCCTACAGCAGAGGGGCCAGACTGTTAGAAGGAAAGCTTAAAAAAAAAAAAAAAAAAAAGAAGTAACTTCAGCATCCATGAACTAGAAGCTCACTCAGAGACCCA